GTAAGCGCAACTGTATACTTTTTTTTGTAACAAATAATGATGGACCGAAACAGAAAAAAAGCCGAACCCGACATAAACCGAAATTTCGGGTACTTTAGTCTTTTGCCAAAAGATTTTTGGAGAGTAATTACTGATTGTGTTTTTTTTTAAAATGACATGCTTAAGCTTTTAGAAGTAATGTTTCAGCCATTTGAAATCGATGGGATCAACCATCACAAGAAGAAGTTATAAATAGTAAAAGAATGGCAGCTTTACGAACTCGTATAAAATGTGCCATACAAAGAATTAAGAAAAATAAATAAATGGATAAAATAATTAAATTTGGAATGTATGTGATTATGCGTAAAATTATAGATCTTCTTATAAAACAAAAAATATATAAGAAATGGATTTAAAAATAATAAATACTTACTATACTATAGATGACAAAACTTTCATAAAAATAAACTTATCAATAGAATTTAAAAATAACGTTCATTAAAATCAACGCTTACAGTAAAAGATATTTTATAAAAATAAACTATATACAAACTTTGTGTCAGTCCAAATCAGTCCACATATACACGTGTCATATCAAAAAAACTTAATGGCAATTTCTGTATAATAGCTAAATTAGCATTGTTTTTTTTATGAAATAATTATTCTGTTGGTAATAAACCAATATAAGACATTTCTTCCTCAACCAAATCATAAGGATTTGCATTCTTTTTTGCGTAAGGACACTAAAAATGTGCCAAGGGATGTATGTTTAAACTAATAATTAAGTTTCAGCAATTAAATAGTTGCCTCTTAGGTGCTTAATACAAGGTGGAGTCAGAATAAAAAATAAGTTGGAATTTTTTACCAGATCTAATAAATGAGAAAGATGGTCTTAATAAATAGTAAAATGGAGTAGAATTCTTTTTTAGACGGAGCGGAGGTTTCTTTAAAAAAAACAATTTGTTTTATAATAAGCGTAAGAAAGATTGAATTTTCTTAGCGTACAAATAGGGATTCAAAAGAAAATGAAAAAATTATAAAACAGGTTTCATTGTTAGTTTTAAAAACAAAATAGAAACATAATCCATTTCTTGAAACAGTTCCTCAAAAGCATTTCTGATTGAATCATTATTATCTTGGTGAAGTGCTCCACCTCACTTCCAATCTAACGCCATGTAACATATTATTACAAGTATTTTTTATAAATAATTTCAATGGTTCTTCAGTCTTTAAATTAAAATCTCGTAAATCCAAAGCTTTTATACACGGATTGTTTATACACGGATAAAACAATTTAGCAGTAGAGTGGCGCATTTTGTAAAAGTTGTTTTATAAATTCAATAGGAATTAATATGTTCATAAGAGTTATAAGTATGGTGAGCAATATTGTGTATTGAAGTGGAACCAAATGCTCATTTTTGACCGAATTAAGATTTTTAATTTTATTTTTGTTTTTTGTAGACTCTAAACCATTTTAAAATGAAATGTGTGTTTTGTTATGATATTAAACTGAAATACATGACGTTGGTGTTGTTGGTGTTGATGAAATTGATGATGAACGCTGTGCAATCGATGATATAGTCGATAATGTTGATCCTGATTGTGATGCTAGCTCAGATTCCGAATCTTTAAATGTTTCTGGTATTTTATAGGTCAATGTTGGATTTATTGAAAGGAAATTTGTTTTTTCCAACGGCTACGTGTGTTCTACGTGTCTACGTGTGTTCTACGTGTCAACGTGTGTTCTAATAAAGTACTTAAACCACATAAAACTTTTTAAAAACTTAAAAAAATAGCATTGTTACCATTGTAACCATTGTTACCATTGTTACCATTTTTTGCATTTGGTAATTTATAACAGTTGGAACTGATAAAACTGTTAGCTTTTTACTTTCATGCTTATTTGTTATTGAACTTAAGTGCACAAATTCTTAATGAAATTCCTTACTCTCAATTATGTTTTAAAGCATTTTCAACACCCTCTTTGCTGTTGTTATTGTTTGGCTTTTTGTTGATTGAAATGATTTTTTACTTGTTATATTAGTTTGCGAGAGATAAGAAAATTATTAATGTATTACAGAGATAAGAAAATTATTATGAAAAATATTATTAATGTATTAAAGAGAGGAATGGGCTTCATTTAGAGAAACAAAACGAATTTTAAAATTCTGTTTTATTATTTCTGTTTTATTATTTCTTTTTTATATTAATTTATGTTTTATTATTTCTATTATTACTGGCCGAAGTAATTGAAGGAATAAACACTTAATGTTTACTTCTTGTCACCAAATGCAAAATAAAATTTTTACTTATTGCCACACAAAATTGAACATTATTTTGTTCATTATTAACCAACTTAAGAAGAATATAATCATATTATAATAGCCTCCTTTTTTTACAACATAAAATAATAGTAATATTACCAAAAAATTCGGAATAAATACCATTCGGTTTAAAATAATTCGGAATAAAAAACAATTTTTTTTTGAAAACCATGTTAATTAATTTTTGAACTTGTATTTTTTTAAAATTTATGTATCAAAAAGCTCTTTTACTCTCACAAAGATGCCATCAAACAAAAACATTTTTTACATGTTCTGATGAATGTAGTCCTATATTGATTTTCTTTTACATTACGATATTTCTTAATACTTTTTGCGTAATTAAAAGTGACCGACTTAAAACAGTAATTTATATAATAAACTCTACTATTGTTTTATTTTAGAATTATTCCTTTTTTTTTCACCCTTTTATTTTCGTTTTATTTTTTATTAGAGATGGCTTTTTAAAAAAACAATCTACAATAAAAAATGAAAAGAAAAGAGAAAGCGAGAAAAAAAAAAGTTATAAAAATAATATAAACGATAAAGTGTATACAAACAAAAAAAGGAAAGGTAAACGAGAAAAAAAGAAGAGTTTAAGTAAAAAGTTTTATCTCAACTTGAAATTCTTTTCTCTTTTTCTTGTTCACATTTTTTTTTTTTTGTATTATTCTTTATTTTTATTTCCGTTTTATTTTTGATTGTGATTATTTTCCAAGGCTTAGTTTACGTAAAACTTTTGCATTGGTCATTACAATCTTTTGATGTAGTGATTGCGAAATGCTGTCAACAACTCCGACATCTGGTGATGGCAACATTGATTTTTTACTTAAAAGCTAAGTTAAATAAAGATAAATACAAGGCAGTTAACGTTCTGAATATCATAAATTTATATATGTGGCTTTGTTGATATGTAGTACTGCCACAATTAAAATATAAAATACTATCGTCTAAATATTATCATCAACATCAAATTAAAGTGGAGTAAGTGAGCTCATCATTCATTTTGTAAGTGAGCTTACCATTTATTTCGTAAGTGAGCTCACCATTCATTTCGTAGGAGACGAAACTACTTTCTATTTATCCTTGCAATGAGTAAATATTTTTTGCTTTCTAAAATCTTTTAACTTTATTACATTTTATATTCTTATCATATTCATATCATATTAAATTTTCTATTCCTCATTTAAAGTTAATATATTTTATTTATATTTTATTTATATTTCACTTTAATATATATATATATATATATATATATATATATATATATATATATATATATATATATATTTTTTCTAAACATAATTTTTTTTTTACATTATTTAATTTATTTTTTTCACTTTTTTTTTTTTTGTTTTTTGGTTGTTTTTTTTGTGAGTTTTGGTGAAGTGTTAGCATAGTTGTTAACAAGGCCAAAAGTATCAAGACCAAGGCCAAGGCCACGCGTTTTAAGGCCGAGGCCAAAACCAAGGCCAAAATTAAAAGACCAAGGACAAGGCCAAGACCAAGAATTTAAGGTTAAGGCCAAGATTAAGAGTTTCAAGGCCAAGGCCTACGCAAACATTTTTAAGACCAAAGAGTTCAACTTTTGCCTTACGTTAAGGCCAATTATTAACACAATTGTAAGTAGCAAGTGCTGTGACAATAAAAACGACATTTTCTCAAAATAGACCAAGAATATGGGCAGAATTCAACGAAACTGATAAGAAAATATGTATTTTTTTTAGACCAAGGCTAAGACCAACAGTTTCAAAGCAAAAACCAAGGCCAAGGCCTCAATTTTTGGCCTTAAAGCAAGGCCAAGGTCAAGGCCAAGGACTAACAATTCTGATTGTTAGTTTGTCTTTAGTTTTTTGTTAGCTTTTTTTAAAATAAACACTTGTTTTAGAGTCTCACTCTTTTAGGTTGAAGAAAAATAAAAGTAAAGCTCTTAATTACTTTATTGTCTCCGAATCTTTTAAATTTACGTTTACTTTATAATAAATGAATAAAATTATCAATCTCAAAATTTTCAAAAAGTTTTTAAATAAATCTTTTATGGATTTTTTTCGTTGCTTTTTTTTAATAAAAGAAAATGAAAAAATAAAATAAGTTAAAACACTCTTTATACTAAATACGTTTGTATGGATAAAACACAATGCGAATGCTTTATTTTTTTTTGAGTGTGATAATTAAGACTGTTATTAAACAGACCGTCTATTAAACAATGCCGGCGCGAAGGAAGGAATGGAGGTGTGGCCCCACCTTCCATTCATGAGTGAATTTTTTGTTCATTTAGTCGGCAAACTTGACCCTATTAGACAAGTCAGTAGGGAAATGTAGATAGACAGTCAGCTAATGTAGACCAGCCACTCGGCAAATTTTAAAAAATGAATACTGTTTTTTTTTTTGTAGGCAAAAAATGAAATGGCACTCCTCCCGCCACACGAAACACCAGGGTCAAACTGGGATTTAGGGGCCATGGGGGGGAGACATAGATGCAGGGCCGCTTTATAGTTATTATAGGGCCGCTTTATAGTTATTATAGGGCCGCTTTATAGTTATTATAGGGCCGCTTTTTTTTTAGTTTCCTTTTTTAGGGGTCCAGATATAAAGAGGGGCCCTGACATAACAGGAGCCCGGGGAAAAAAATACCCTAGCCAATCCGACCTTGCGTGACACATACTCGAGTCGGCCTTGGACGTAAATCAAAATAAAAAATTACAGTAAAACCATTAAATTTTCACAGATATCTAATATGGTAAAGCTAATAAACACAAGTAAAGTTACCAAATAAATAATTAATAAATATAATATTATATTAATAAAAAAAAGCTTTTTTTTCGGTTTAAGGTGAAAAAACATCTTGAGAACGTGGCCACACTTCTCAAGAACATGGCCCCACTCCTCAAAAACATTGTAACATTCACGTTTCTACACTTCTCAAGAACATTGTAACATTCACGTTATCAAATTTCTTATAACTTATGTCTAAAATATAATGAATAAACATTAAAAGTAAATGCATAACATAAACAAATCAAAAAGATTCTTTATTGACATCTTTAACAATTTTTTACCAAATATAATTGCATAATGTTTTTTAACTTGCGATATTTACAAACACTTAATTTTTATTTAAGTCTTATTTATCCATTTTTTTTTTTTTTTTTACTAATTTACTTTAACTAGTTTAATTTTATTTATCCATTATCAACAGAAGTTACTTTAGTCACTGTAGTTTCTGGATCACCATCTACAATATTAGACGGCGCTACAGAATTCCCGTGTTTCCATGCAGCCTTTGCTGGTTTTAGTTTAAAAAAAGATGTCCCATGACGAAAACGTGCATGACCGACGTAAACCTTAGGTAGTATTAGGCATCCCAAAAACGTATAAGCCATTATATTAAGAGTGTATGCAATTACTAAAGCTTTAAAACTAACATTTGCATATTTAAAAGTAGGTAAAAAAGCCAAAAAAGTGATACATAGAGCAATGCTTGAAAAACTTAAAAATTTTGGCTCGTAATAGATGTGGTCTTTGTTCCGCTCACGAAAACTGCAAAAAGTTGAAATAAAGGTGACAATAAACGGAACAAAGATTGAAATTAACTTTCCTGCTGTTAACTCTATGCTGCAGCGTTTCTCAATATGAAATTTTTCAATTATTTCATTGTTTTCTAAAGGAGCATGATATCCATCAATACTATCCCAAGCTGTAATGGTACATATCTCAAGAATTAGAAAAAGTTTGATGAATATTAACTGCGTAAGAAATAACCGCCCTTTTAAGAAATATTTTGCATTAGAATTGTGGTACTTTTTGAAATATTTTGTTTTGATTATCAAAAATGAAGAAAACATCATAATTAACAAGAAGAAAGATACATTTCGCACCTGACACAAAAAAAGTGATGGCTCAATTAATTGAAGAAATCCAAAAGAAAAAGACAGAAGACATAAAACACACGGTAGTGTAACTATATATGGAGACGATTCATCTGTTAAAATAAAATTTCGAAGCTTCAATAAAAAAATAATAGAAAAGAAAGTAAGTAGCCATCCAACACTGCTTGATAAGAAAAGTGCAACACCTTCTGTGCTTTTTATAGTCAGCCAAATTACTGGCGTTTTTACACATGTAATATGATCTATTGTGTGTTTCCCTTCACCACATGGTTCACACTTTGGTGCCATTATGGTATTACTATAACTTTTACCTGTACAGTTTGTGCAATTCCAACAGTATTGATCTATTTGAGTGTAATACTGACCTACTAGGCACTGTGCGTGACACTGAGAATCTGGATGTTTTTTGTTGAGATTTTTAAACCAGAAGGGCCATTTTATTTTATCTTCGTTAAAAAATAACCTTTGATTGCGAGTTTTACTCCAATTGCCAACAGTTACATATTTTAACGTGCCATTAATTAACTGTAAATTTTCGATTGTATAAAAGACAAAAGTAGAATCACCTGATTGGTCAAATTGAACAAGCTCTCCAGCGTCGTTCATAAACGATATGTTTCGTACAATTTCCGTTAATGTTATAGGATCAATTCTTAAAATAGAACACGACTTATTTTGAACACAATTTTTTTGTAAAAATACAAGTATGGCACGAGTAAGAACTGCCACTGCATCTACTAAATTGCTAGTTTTTTCTCCAAGCGCCGATAATTTTTTAATTAAATCATCAATATTAATAGAACAATTTTTTGATCCAAAAAATGTTTTGTTGTCACTTGAAATTGCTGTTGGTTCGCATTGAAAATCATTTTTCAAATAGTTTTTTAGCCACGTATTGCATAAAAAGTTTGTTTTTATTTCATTTTCTATATAGTTAACAAGTTTTGGTAATTTGTGACGTTTCATAGAAACGGTCATTAGGCCCTGCAGTTGATTTTCTAAAGCTGCGTCTAACTTTTCAGAATACGGATTCCAATTGTCACTCGTTAACCAAACACGTTGTAAACTTTTTTTCTGGGCTAGTTTTAAAATATATTCTCCTAAGTGACTTACATAGCAAAACAAAATAACTACTGTAGATTTAAGAGAATCTAATTTCTCAACTATATCTATTATAGTACTGTTTGTATTTCGATGATTCACTGGAATGTAATTCGTATATTCTATATGAATGCTAGAATTCGCTGTACGGTTTTGGAGATCTGTGACTGCAAGTTTACCATAGTCATCATCTGAACCAATTGCAATAACATAAGTCCAATTAAAATATTTAATAATATCTAACATGGCAGTTATTTGATGAACATCGGATGGAATTGTTCTAAAAAATGACCTATGTAAGCTTCTACTCAGCAAAGGACTAGAAGCAGCATGGCTTATAACTGGAATTTGATACAAAGACATTAAACCTGACAAAGGTATTGTTGTAGTACTTCTGTCAGTACCTATAATTCCAACTGCTGGTTGAATATTGTCGGAAACTGTGTCATTAATACAATGCAAAAATTCCTCCCGACAGACAGAATTTTCACGTATCATTGATATATATTCGACAGCTATAGCCATTGTAACAGGTAAAGACCTACAATTATCATCAAAACGAATTCCAATACTAGCCCACTGATTTAAGTTAGGATTTTTATTTGCAATATCAATTGCGTATTGAATAGCATACACATTTATTAAGCCGAAAAGACTGACTTTATTACACGAATCGGTCTCTGTAAATTTGAGAATTCCTTGAATAGTATAATTTCCTTTCTGAATTGTTGTAATACGACCTGAATTATTTTGATAATGTTGATCGTGGCGATCGTGCTGATAGGTTTTTTGCTGACAAGAATTTCTAGATTCTACATTCACATCTTCAATAGTTCTTTGAGTTACCATAAAAAAAAAGAAAAATATTTTGTGTTTCATTGGAGAATTTCTATAGGCATGAATAAATCCATAAACCATCTACTACCGATGGTTGTTACCAATGAGTTTGAAACAACTTTTTGTCTGCTTTACAAAAATCTCTCATGTTGAATTGTGGCTCATTTGTAGTACAAATATTTATAGTACAAATAATGTAAAATGTCAAAAAAGATTTTATAGATTTCATATATAATAGAGAAATTATAGTTCTTTTGAATAAATAAAATAAATACAAATATTTTAATAAAAATATAATACTTTAAACAAACAAAAACTCCTTAAAAAATTTAAAAGTAAACAATCGTTATTAAAAAACAATTTATCAAGTAAATATTTTATTTTCAAATGTTTAACAAAAACAGTTTATAAATTTAAGTTCTGGAAACTTCATGAAGGTAAAACAAAAAAATGTGAATATTTTGTTTGAAAATATTAGGCCATGGTTGTTAACTAAAGTTAAGATTATAGAGTTTTATTTAGGATTCAAATTTTTGGAGAAAAAAATGACCTGTAAACAACGTAAAACGTATAAATAATGTTTTTATTTCGATTTTTCATCGATGTATTTTTATAATATAAGTACAAATTTTATTTTTTCGATAACAAGGTAACCTTTTATATCGTACTTGATAAAACGCTAAAAAATGAAAAACTACCGCTGACGCATTGAATTAGTTTATATATAAAATTTGCATAAATATTATCTAAATTGTTTTTTATTATGGTTTTAAACTTTTGTTGTATTGTTTATACACCAAAATTTTACAACTTTACCAATTGAGGGGGTTATTTTACATATTCACTGCTTTAAACACAAAATGTTTAGAAGTTAGAGTAAACGTTTAGAAGAGTTTTTAATTGAGCTTAAGACAACGCAGACAGTTTTTAAAATGTTTTTCTTTTTTTTTTTTATCTTTACTACATTATATAAGATAAAGATAAAAATAAATAAAAGAAGAAAAGTTATAAGAGGAGATATATTAAAAGAGACTTAAACGATGAGAAAGAAAGTCTCAACTTTCAAGAAGAAAAAATAAAGGAAGAATTACTGACTTCGAAAACCGCTCTCGTCGTAACAACATTAGAGTCGATGGTCTGAAAGATTTACCAGGAGAAAGTTGGAGTGACTGTGAAAATTTAATAACAACCTTAAAATTTCAAGCAAAATTATTGTGGAACGAGCGCATCGAATTGGGTTGTCTAAAGAAACAAAACACCAAGAACTGTCGTAGTAAAACTATTGAACTACCGAGATAAAACTATTGAACTACCGAGATAAAACTATTGAACTACCGAGATAAAACTATTGAACTACCGAGATAAAACTAAAATTTTAAGTTCACTTAAAAACCAAAAAGAAGTGGGTTATATATAAATGAAAATTTTACTAAAGAGAAAATGGAAGAGAGTAAGAAACTTTGGGAAGAAAAAAATCTTCGCAACCAAGGTAAATACGCAACGATTAAATTTGATAAAGTTTTTTGACAAACTAATCATTTTCTAATAGAAATTATTTGTTCAGTATGATTTGCTTAACAGGAAATCGGTGTTCTAACGAATGTAATTATTTGTTCAGTATGATTGGTGTAATCAAAACGGATATAACCGATCACTTTCCGATATACTTTATCTTTTTCAAGATACAAAAAATAATAATTCCAAAATCAATGTCTATAAACGAAAAACTAATCATTTTACTATGCAACAGTTTAAAGACTCACTATTGGCAGAGATGTGTGATAAGATTTACCAAGAATGCAACCTTGGGCATGCAACCCTAGATCTAGTTAACAATATATGTGATTCTTTTGATAAAAAACAGTATGTTCTAGGCATCTTTATAGACCTGTCAAAAGCGTTTGATACTGTATATCATAATGACTTACTTAAAAAGATGGAAAGCTATGGGATAAAAAATATTACCCTTGACTTGTTCAAAAACTCTTAGCAACAGGCAACAATATGTTATTTCAAATAATTATAATCACTCAAAACTACTAAGAGTTGAGTGCGGTGTCCCCCAAGGTTCCATTTTTAGACAAGTTCTGCTTCTTCCATATGTTAACGACCTTACAAAAGCCTCGAAAAAACTTGATTTAATTATGTTTGTCGATGACATAAATTTATTTTATTCCTCAAACTCAATCAAAGACCTTTATGAATGTTTGAACAAAGAGCTTGAAATATTAAATGTATGGTTAAAATTAAATAAGTTATCACTAAATACAGAAAAAACAAAGTACATTTGTTTCATTTCAAAAAACAAAACAAATAATATACCAACTATCCTTCCCTCACTAAAAATAGATAAAGTAAACATTAAAAGAAGAGAAACAACTAAATTTATGGAGATACTCATTGACGAAAATATATCTTGTGGATATATTTTCCCCAGATAAGTACCCCATATATACCCCATATATATACCCAGATAAGTACAAAAAACACAAAAATTTCAAAAAAGATTGGAATATTCTACAAAGTTAGATTTCAAAAAGTATTGGGATAGCTCATCCATGCTGAACCCTTACTTAAAACTTTGAATGCACTAAATGTTTACCAAATCAACATTTACCAAAATCTACTATTCATGTTTAAATGCAAATTTGGACCAATCCCATTTTCAAGATTGTGACCATTTTAAGATTGGATCATTTTTAAGATTTAACGCTAACAGATAACAAGAAGCTTCACGTTACTTAAAAGAACAACAAAATTCTCACGGTTTTCGATTTTCTACCGGGGTCCGTAATTATATAACAAAATTCTCACGGTTTTCGATTTTCTACCGGGGTTCGTAATTATAAAACTTTATATTCATTTTTTAAAATAAAAAAATTATATTCATTTTTTGCAATATGTATCAATAAAATTTATAGCGCAAATTATAAGATTTATTTAATATAAATAAAATATTGAGTTCATTAATTAGTATGTCAATTCATTGAGACTCAGAATGTGTACATTCATTGAACCATGAAAAAAAGTTAATATTTGTCTGTTCATTTTAGTAAAACGAAGCAAAGGCTATTTAAAAAAAAGTCTGGTATTTTAATATTTTTATATTTTCACCACGTTTCACAATAATTTACATAATCTAGTGAGATAAAATTAAATAACATTTAAAAAATAATTGTACATAATTAGTATAACTTTTAAAAATTTATATACATAATTAAGATTCTTTAAAATAAATATACATAATTAGCCTCTAAAAATAACAATAAAATACAAATAAATAACCAATAAAAATACAATAATAATAATCGTACAAATAAAAATTAGCCTCTAAAAATAACAAAAAATTATCACAAAAATTTAAATCTTAAAAATATACAAAATACGCAACATATTAAATTAAAACAAAAATTAGAAATAAAAAATATCAGATTTTTTTTATATATTAACCTCAAATAAATATAAAAACGAAGACCTTTTATTAAATATAAAATAAATTATACAAAGAAAAAAAACGGATTAATCAGAATTTTGATTGCATATATGAATTAAACTAATTCATAAACGTAATATATATATATATATATATATATATATATATATATATATAATATATATATATATATATATATATATATATATATATATATATATATATATATATATATATATATATATATATATATATATATATATATATATAAGGCATGTAGAGGGATGCTAAAATTCTTTAACATAAAATATTTAAATTTATATGTATAGTTTTTTAATTCAGAAATATCATTTATGCATTTAAAAAAAATAACTTTAATATAATCTCTATCATATTTTATAATCTAATATATATTTTATAAAACATTTTCAATAATTATTTCAATATTTATTTTCAATAATTTTGTTTTTTACACTAATTTTAAATATAGTGTCATGTAAGCAATTTTTTTTTAATCGGTTTATATTGCAAAAAAAATTTATTTGGTATATATTGTAAATGAGAAAAAGTTAACATAATTGTCGTAACTGCCTTTTAGTAAACCCAGAATAAAGATAATATTGTCTGACACAAATAAAAAAATTGGTTTGATAAGCAATAGGCTTTTCATCTTTATAAATATTCTAATTAATGATAATAACTTTAATAACTAATAATAATAAAAAATAACTAATCACTTAATAACTATTTGGACAGAACTACTAACGTTTATTTAAACTATATTATATTAAATGTCTACTATGATTTTATGAAAAAAACCTACATCTGTATATATATATAATATAATATATATATATATATATATATATATATATATATATATATATATATATATATATATATATATATATATATATATATATATATATATATATATATATATATATATATTTATGCAAAGTATATATATATACACACACATATATATATATATATTTAAATATATATATATATATATATATATATATATATATATATATATATATATATACATAAATATATATATATATATATATATTTATATATATATATATACATATACAAGCATATATATAAGTATATATATGTATATACTTATATATATGCTTGTATATGTGTATATATATATATATATATATATATATATATATATATATATATATATATATATATATACATATACAAGCATATATATAAGTATATTATCTATATATATACATATATATATATATATAAATATATATATATATATACATATATATATATATACATATATATATATATATACATATATATATATATATATATATATATATATATATATATATATATATATATATATATATATATATATATATATATATATATATATATGAAATAAAACTAAAAAGAAATCGGTGATATATGTTTATATGCAACAAGCGATGAAACGAGCACGTATAACAGCCATAATGATATCATAAAAACCCCTGAAAAATATTTTAGTGTTTTGTTTCCCCCTAATTCACCCTTCCCAAATACTTTTAAATACCTTCTCAAAATAAGCAATACAATGCAAACCAAAGAACAGACAGTGTATGTTACCACACTAGTGGCTAACGTACCGGCAGGTGTAACAAAACCTCCTGGAGTTTTCTAAGTAAAAAAAAAAAAAAAAAAATAATATATATATATATATATATATATATATATATATATATATATATATATATATATATATATATATATATATATATATATATATATATAAAACTGTAGTATAGTTTAAAATTTTTTTTAAAAAGTATAACATACAAAACCTTTATAGAATGAAAGATGGCTGCCATTACCTTTATAGAATGAAAGATGGCTGCCATTAGCCAAGGTATGCCTAAGCCTAAGAAGACGTTAACACCATTACTGCCAGTGATATTTACAACAGATGCATCAGCAAACTTTTCAACTTGAGCAGCTGTGCGACTTGCAAATAAATCTGGTAGACTTGTACCCATGGCAACAAAGGTTATAGCTGTAACCTCTTTTTGAAGACCAACTAAACATCCAAACAACGTTGCAAGATCTCCAATAATAGCCGTTAAGATTCCAATCAAAATTAGAACAATAAAAAAAGACAACCAACCTCCGTACCATTTACATGGAGGAACAAATGCAAACAGAACCTAAAATTTGTTTTACAGTTAATTCAATGTTTATAATTAATATTATGTTTTAATTTTATAATTAATATTAATTTAAGCAATCTAATTGTTAAAAAAATGATAATTATCTTGTAAAATTTATTTTTTCGCTTTTTCTTAATATTAATATTTTTCTATAATATTTTTCTTAATATTAAAATTTTTTAAATAAAAAAGTTTATTGGGAAAAAAAAAAATTTGTATAGAAGAATGAAATAAATGTTAAATATATTTATCAAATTTATATAATTACTATGTATTATTTATTTATAAAATTTATGAGAAATTGTATGGTCTACTCCTTTATATTTCTTGTATAATTCTTATTTATTTCTTTTATAACTACAAAAAAGCCTAAAAAACATAATTGACCAAACTTATTACTTATTTGACTAAGCATGTGACTTATTTAACCAAACTTATTACTTATTTGACCATTCATGATATAGATTGGCTTTTATCTATTTGAATTTATAACTACATGTTGACACATGTTTGAAAAGCAAGTTTAAAATTTTAAAATCTAGAATTACAATGATGTTTCTTTTTCCAGATCAATTGTGCAACTTAGCACACACAATCATAACTTTAAAATTTCAATTGTGTGATCAAGGCTTACATTGTAAACATAATATGTATATATGTTTACAATGTAAATACCTTATTCCTTTTAAATATTTCTTTGCAAATAATAAACAAACCATATAACAAATTGTTTTGTAGATAAATTTTTATAAACATAAAAAAATTTGTAACAAAAATATATGGTGCCTACAAATAAATTTAGATATCTAAAAAACATAAAAGTTGGCTGCAAAAATGCAGTGATTTAGGAGCAACCTTCGTAATTTTATTGTTGGGTCAACACAAATTGGAAAATAATATCAAGGGATTGCAGCATCAGAAAAGTAGGGAATTGCTGCCTTAAGTACAGGCACATAACTTGCAGATATCATACAACTTGTCAAAAAAAAATAAAAATACTTTTATATATAAACAAAAATATTTATAAATTGAACTTTTATTCGGATTTCAACTTTTGAGCACTAAGCATACATAGTTTAAAGCACAAAACGCAATTTTCCCTTCACAAGAAATATCATCAAATCTTGATTAATTAAAAAAAATTTAACAAAATTAAAATCTTTGAACATACTTTCCAAAAAAAAGTTATAAAGTGCATAATATAGTCAACTACTGATGCATTATCAACATCACCACCATTGACATTCATAGCTTCTCTAAACTGTTGACCCCATGATTCAGCACCCAATTCAAACTTATCCAAATTTATATGTGCTAAATTTACAACACGATTGAACATGTTTTTGTACTCTAAATATAAAAAATTGTTGTTCATTACAATTACTATTTATAGCTATTGTAATGAATAAAGCAACCATTATCTTGTAAGCATTTTGGTCCTGTTAGTTTCTTGTGATGAAAAAATATATACTATATTTAAATTGCACAATTCTTTACAGCTCAAAAAAATAAATTCTTTTATAAGCTTTCATGTACATAAGCTTAATTTTGCAACTTTAAATTTGAAACACTTTAAAAAAATAAAAATTGAAACATATTTTAAAATAAATAAAAATTGAAACATATAAAAAAAAAAAAATTATTTTTGTCATTATAACTTTTAAGTTTCTTATAACTATTATTGTATTACAACTATTATTATATCTAACTATTATTATATATTAAACTTTATATTTATTATATATGCTTTCTCTTATTACTTTAAACTAAAAAATGAAAAACTCACTATTACAATTTTTCACTACTGCTACTTAACATTATCACTGACTATGGTACTTACCATTATCTATGGTAACTGACTATGGTACTTAACATGATCACTGACTATGGTAACATAGTCAGTGATAATGCTAAGTACCATAGTCAGAGTTGGTGGTAAGTACTATAGTCAGTGATGATGTTAAGTACTTAACATTACCACTGACTACAGCACTGACTATGTTACTTAACATCATCACCGACTATGGTACTTAACATTATCACTGACTATGGTACTTACCATCATCACTGATTATGGTACTTACCATCATTACTGACTATGGTATTTACCATCATCACTGATTATGGTACTTAACATCACATTACCATTATTAAGCTACTTATCTTTATCACTTATTAAGCTACCTATTATCACCAACTATACTACTTACCATCATTATTGACTATTGTACTTACCATCATCACTAACTATGGTAACAACAGTCCTTTTAAGTCTTCCAAACTTTGCACCAGCTGGTTTGATTTCTGTAAACTCAACCACAAAAGTTTCATCTTTTTCAAACATATGATCATCAATTATTTCAATATTTATACTTTTACATGTTTCGCCATGTTCAAAGATCAGGGAACCCTCAAAATTAATCAGAAGTAAATGTTAAAAAAATACACAGAAAAGAATTTTAATAATATACAAGATTTCAAATTTTATAAAAAATTTTAGAACAAAACCTACTTCTCTCCAACCTACTTACTTGCCCTCCGATAAAATCTTTTCCGTGGAGCGCACTTTGATCTTTAGTTTTCCATAGAACCTCTAATTTTCCATCTGCACCATTAACACGATCCACTGCAAGTTCAGCTTTTCCACAACTTTCTTTTACAATATAACTAGGCTTCTCAAAAGAAACGGTTCCAGGGTCTTAAAATAAGAGTTATAAAGTAAAGTGGAACATGCATTTTTATAAATACTTGTTAAAATAATTTTGAAAATTAAAATAATTATTGTTGTTGTAGCAAAAAGTGAAAAACAAAAAACATTTTTTTCAAAATAAAAACAAAATGAAACTGACCATCATCATTAATAATAGTGACTTCTGTTATAGAATGGTGACCAATAACAACATTTTCTTCATTTCCTTGAGTGGGATATAATTTGACAAAAAAGGTTTCATCTGGTTCCCACTCATTGTCATCGATTATAGTGACTTCAATGTGCTTATGAGTTTCGTTACTTTCAAATATTAGAACATCTTTTTTAGAAATATAATCTGAGCCTGCCTCAGCAGTACCATTAATAGTTTCATAGCTGTGTGAAAAAAAATAATAATAAGTAAATAATAAAAGTTTGAAAACAAACTTCAAACTTATCAAATTAGAAGATATGTTTACTGGATTTAATTCAAATTTTAAATGAGCAGTCTTGAAGTAAAGCATAGTCAAATACAACAAACCTAATTGGTTTACAAGCCAATAAACATTTTTTTTTTTTTTTACTTAAGGTAAGGAATATATATGATCTTAGGGAGGAACCATGCTTTTAAAGTTTTTCACTCCTGAAATCTTTGAATAGCTTGACATCCCAACTAAGCCATTTTGCAAAATCTTGAGCAATTTTAAGCAACCTCTGCTAAAGTCTCAGAGATCATACAATTTTTAGAACAAACAATGCAATAGGTTAGGCTATTGGACAATGCCGACCTTAAAGTGTTTGAGGTCAGCAAAAAATTGCCGATATTGTTTCTATGTTTTATGGTAAGACCTTTGTATCAAATTTATTTTTGCCGACCTGTTACTGACCTCTAAAAGATTGAGGTTGGCAAATTATTGTCGAGGTCATTTTTCCTAATTCCCAAGGTTGTATAAATGACATGATTTGGAAAAGATTAGGTGAGCTTTAGAGAGGAGAATATAGAAAAATGGCTGAAACATATGTAATGTAAATCTAATAAATTATTTACTCAAATGAAATAAAACTTGGCTAAAAGCAAAACTATCTTAACTCTATTTAAAAAACATTTAAAAAAAATTTAGTTAAGTAAAATTGTGTCAAAATAAACAATGGTGATTGATCTGCAAGATTTCAAAAATTTTGAACTGTCAACAACAATTCTGTTGAAAAAAAAGGAACTATTATAGAATAAGAAAATTGATACTTTATTTTTTTGCGTGTGCCATTATTTCCTTGTATATAAATTTTTTCATGAATTTTAAATCACATTTTTTGAAAGTTTTTTTGCTAAGATTAAAACAGTATAAATTTTACTTTTAGTTGTTACATCAAGTTTTAACACATATTTACTTCCCTGAGTTCAAGGGCACAGTTTAGAACCCCCCCCCCTAATTTTTAAATAGGATTAGGAATCGTCCATAAAGTACGTATGCCAAAAATTCTAAAATTTGACACCCCTCCCCCCTGTTGACACCCCCACCCTTAAAAAGTACATACGTTTTTCATATATCCTCCCCACAATTTTGTTTTTTCAATAAAGAAATTTATTGAAAAAAAAAAGGTGGAGGAGGTACCCTAGTTACTTTAAAAATATCTAGGGCAAAAGATCCCAATTTAAAAAACATCATCAAATATATATATACAAATATTAATTTAAATCAAGTTAAATCATGCAATACCAAAGAGTTTGCTTGTCCGAGTGGTTAATGTTATGGGCTGTGACAGCGGAGACCCGATTCCCGGTAAAGTCCTATTTTACTTTTTTTGTTTAATGAGACACATCAAATAAAAATAAACTATACTTAAGGCAGACGTTTTTTTCAGGCAACCCTCTTAAGTAAGTCCGTAAAAGGCGAGTCTTAAGCGAGAAGAGTATTATTGAAAACAAAGCCTAAAACTCAGTGTCGAGTATAGGCTACCCATACCCCTTAATTAGAGGGGGTGGGGTGTAGTGGGGGAGCAGAAATTTTGTGCCCTTTTGCTATTTTAAGCTTTTTATTTTAGCAAAATTTAGCGGTAAAATTTGAAAGATTTTAGACCCTAATGACATGTTTTTTTACATAAGTGCCCTCATGTTTGAGCAGGGCTCAAACGTAAGGGCACTTATGTAGTAAAATTTTTAACTTAACGATCTAAAACTAAATTCAAATTTATTGACAGAATTTAAATTTCGTTGAAAAATATTATAAATTACAAAAGTTGTAATTTACAATATTATATATGTCGATGCAAAATTTTTTTTGTTCCCAGGCTACCACTATAACAATTTTTTGCAAGGCCTCTTCAAATGGCATAGGTATAAACACTTAAAAATATATAAATACTTAAGTTTGGAGTTAGTACAATGTGTGGAAGTGGTTTATCTGGAACATTAAAAAAATCCTGAGGGCGCCCATGCATGCGTGCGCATGCAGAGAAACTATACCTTCTACTGCCTATACAATACATCTTTTTATGTTGGTAAACTAGGATCTTTAGTCAGAATTTTTAATTTTCTATTGACTAGCTGGTTAATTGTGTAAAGTTAGAAAATGGAAGTACGTACTTTTAAATTGACCCCCCCCCTGTACACTTTTGTATGCTTTTTGAAGACCTCCCCCCTCCCCCTATGAGCGTACATACTTTATGGACAACCCCTTACAACCCTATATCTAGTTAATCACAAATGTTGAATTCTAAGCTATCATTATCATGATAAAACTGCTTTTAATATCTGTGAAACGTTTTTGAATTTTGCATATGTAAACATTATATAAAGATTAATATATTATAAAGATTATAATTTAGAAACTATAAATAAATTATTTTTATTCTAAATTATTTTTCTTTATATATAAAAAAAAATAATTTAGAAACTATAAATAAACATACTTAAAAAATAATTAAAAATCAAAAAAATTTCATGGGCTATTCACATGAACAAGTTTAAATTTTATTTTGATAAATATAAATATATATATATATATATATATATAAATATATATATATATATATATATATATATATATATATATATATATATATATATATATATATATATATATTTATATATATATATATATATATTAGGGTAGTGCAAAAAAAATTTTTTTTTAATTTCTTTGATGGTACCATTTCTTTATGTGACATTATGTGTAGGAATAACAATCGTGAAGTTTGGGCATGATTGAATAATTTTTAAAGGTTGCTCATCAACATCAAGTTTTTTACTTTTTGGGTTTGAGTTCTCTTTTAGTGTGCAATCCCAAATTTTGAATAAATTATGATACAACATTGCATTTTAACTCTTACTGTATATTAATCCAAAACCATGCAGTATTTTATAAACTGAATTATATATATTATTGTTTACAAATAAAAAATTTGAAGAATAAAGTAATAAACTTCTGGTTTATAATAACGTATTTGTGTTCACTATAGTAAAGACAAATTTAAAAAACAATAATAGTTCCAAAAAATCTTAAAAATTGTTAGAGTTTTAGGTTTCATTTATATTTCAGCTTCTTGCAAAAAATTATTGTAATCTATGAAAAAAAATTCATTGGTTTTTGTTTCCATCGTTTTTTGATGACTTGGTTCCATCGATCAACAAAGATTTCTGTGGCAGAGGAAACTTTGACCTGTGTTCAGAGACTACCTGCAACAAGAATTGCTTTTGTTCTTCATTTTTGGTAATTGAACAATTAAAATCCTAATTTAGTTTTACTCCTCTTTCAGCCATATCACTAACAACTCGTAGACTTTTTACAATTTTTTCTGCCTGTTGAAACTCTTCATTTTCGGTCCACTTGTCAGGATCAACAGTTGTCAAAAAAGTAGTTGGTAATTCCAAAATGTTGAAAAAATTTAAGGTATTCTCTGTTACAAAACTTTCTATTTGCAGATTTTCAATTGAAGTTAAATCGATTTTTATTCTTTTCTGTGGTTCATCCTCTCCAGCATTTTCTAGAGCCAAAACCATTTTTGCTTTTGTTTCCTTGCTGATCTCCTTATCAAAAAAAGCCAATGCTACCATTTCTTCACTTAGATACCATAAATGCCTCGAAAATGCTGTTGCTGCAGCTGTAAAAATTCCATTGTTAATGGCTTTATGTTGAAAAACAGTCTTCAAGAAAGTGAGATCATTCGACGGAGCAAGTGTTGGATTGGTACATGATATCCAAAATTTGGTGTACACCAAACTAGCAAACAAGCTAATACCTCGAAGTGATTTTTCTTCTTTTGCCGTTAATTTGAACTGCCTTTTGAACATCCATATTTTCATTGAATATAAAATTTTGGCCATCCACCTTCCTCTGTGTATGGCTCCGGGAGCCATTACATGAGCCCCACGAGGAGGAACATCACCAAGAAACAACAAGGTTAGTTCCAACAATTCCTTTTAGTCATCTCGATATTGTTTACTAGATTCAAGAATTGTTTTCAAATAAAATAGTGCATCCTGTTTGAGTATGGTGTGAGAAGCCAAAATGTCCGAACATGTTTGAACGCTGTTTCATAATTATTTTTGTCAATTAATGACCACTTGTCACGAAAAGGTTTAAATAATCCTATTTCAGGACCACTGGATTGCCCAAGAGAATGCTTAAAAACATCACTCAAGACGATTTCATACATATGATGACGGCATGCCAAGTGTAATAGTTCTCTATTAAGCTTTTTTTCAATTAAAGTACACGCTCCAGCTTCGGTACCAGTGTTGGCAGCCGTTGTATCAAAACTGATTGCTTTAACTCGGTCTTGAATGTCCCAATCTAGTAAAGTTGTTATAACAGCTTCACTTATTGCTTTACCAGTACCCCTTGTTAACTTTGGAATGCCAAGAAGCTGGTCAACGTTGTAACCTGTAACAACAACTGCTAATCGATCAACTGAATCTCTTCCAGTAATATTTGGCAATATTTTGCCATCAAAATGAACAGTCAATGGAACATTTGACGAGTTGAATGCAAACTTTATGGTTGTAGCAATTTTGTTTCGATTAGTAATTCTAGCTCTCCGGATCGTATCGCGACTAATAGCAAAATCTGTAATGTCATGACCTAAACCTTTTGCTGCAGCTGCCAGTAAATAAGTTGAACGGCGATCCGTGACATTGGTTCGGTCAAGAGCAGATGCTAACTCAGGTGAAATGATATTTTGAGATCGCGGTCGCTTTTTTACAACATTTTGATTAGATTTCTTTGGTTTCATAAATTCTTCATCTGAGGTTTCAGTGCCAGATGTAGACTTGTCAGATAGGTGCATTGAATCAATGTGACTTGTATTTTCAGCTTCTTTTTTTCGCTTTTTTTCCTGAAAACGTCTGGACTCTTCTAATTCTTTTCTTTTCTGGACACGTTCTTCTGTTTTTGCCAATGCCATGTCAACTCCGGCCATGTATCTCTTATGTTCACCTCGCTGATCTATTAGAAATAGTCTGTCTTCTTCAATTGTAATCAAACTCATGGCATCAGCATGTGCTATATCAAAAATGCGATCAATTTCTTCACAAAAAACATTTTCATTTGCTGTTTGTGTTGCCGAAGCTCGTTTCATGTTTTTCTTTATTTTAGCCCATTTGTAAAAAATATTTTTAAGTTTTTCAATTGCATTACGTTCAATAGTTGTTGGAATTCTTGCCATATTCCACAAATGAAATACTTCTTGAATGACACACCTTGCACTTTGTCTAACGGTTTGTTTTTCTATTTTGTGAAGATGAAAAAATACTGCAAGAACTTGACGACATGTTGGAAGCTTCATCCCAGAAATATTTGGAGAAACAGACCCAACAAGATAAATGTCAGTAGTTGTTCGAGTTTCAATTTTTTTCGAAAACGAAGGGAAAGATAACTGAGAATTCATATTACAGGATATTTCTGAAAATCAAAATATAACCTGAGTAAAACAATTGTTATCACAAAATGAATTTATTTTTTTAAAGCCTCAAATCAGCACTCATATGAACAAAAATTAAAATGCTTTGCGGTATATTGTCAAAGATAGTTGCACACTATTAAATTAGAAAAAGATATTCAAAAAATATTTAAAATCGATTAAAATAATTATCATAATTAATTAAATTAAATCAAATTAAGAGTTATGTCATAATAAAATAAATAAACAAATGTACATATTAAAAACTTCACAGTAACTTTAGAATAGGAAAATAATGGCAATTAAAAGAGGAAACATGGCCATGAGCGACCTCTAAAAGTCATTCAAATTTGCTTAAACTTTGCAGGAATTAATATAATGATAAAAGGAACAATAGGAAAAAGTACCACATTGATTTTTGAAACTTTTGAAATAGTCAATATATTTGTGCACCACCCTAATATATATATATATATATCAATTTTTATTAACTATAAACAAAATATACTTCTTATAGTCAAATATTTTATTGGGTAGTAATGCAAACAAAGTAAGATCAGTTTCAGGGAACTTGGATAATAATTTTGTCAAAATCCATTTTTGAAATTTTAAAAGTACTATTATTTCAAAATTAAATCAACATACTTACCCAACTTGCACTTGAAGTTCAATATTTCCTGATCTTTCAACACCAAGCTGCACACTTTTACAATTTTCCATGACTGATACCGCAGAAGCTGTAAATTCAATATAAGCCTTTTCATTAGCAGATGTTGCTGATGCTAAATAAAGTTGGAAGATTTGATTAAAATAAAAATACCTAAACTGTGTTCAGGTATATTTACTTTAATATAACTGAAATATGTAAACACTATCTTTGAAACTTTCAGAATACATGTTTCCTTGAAACTCACAGAATACATGTTTCCTTGAAAGTCACGGAATACATGTTTTATTTGAAACTTCCAGAAAAAATGTTTCCTGTAAATTTGCTTCCTTAAAACTTTCAAAACACATGTTTCCTTGAAACCTGCAAAATACATGTTTCTTTGAAACTTGTAGAATATATGTTTCCTTGAAATTTGCAGATTACATGTTTCCTAGAAACTTGCAGAGTATATGTTTTCTTGAAACTTGAGGAATGCATATTTTGGGGAAACTTGGGGAACACATGATTCCTTGAAACTTACGGAACACATGTTTTCTTGAAAAAGAAAAATGAGTACTAAAATTGATATTTTTATATAGATACATTCTCTTTTGTTCAAGATATGTTCTAATTTGTTCAAGATATGTTCTCTTATCTTTAACATATGTTCTCCTTTGTTCAAAATATGTTTTCTTTCGTTCAAGATATTTTCTCTTTTGTTTAAGTTATGTTCTTGTTTTTGGAGTAAGTGCAAGAATAAAAATAAAAACTTTAAGACATGATATTAGTAATATTATCGTGTCATAATAATATCATCCTAAAAACTATATAAAATTTCTGAAAAATAAAATTTTTTCACTACTAAACATTGCATCAACAACAGAACAGATTAAGAGACTAATGAATCACTTCAAGAGCGAATTGTAAGATAATTCAGTAAGATAATTTAAAAGATCATCACAGGTTTCAAGAAAATCAAACTCTCTAGAAAACTTTTATCTAAATACAACTAGAAGTTTTGGATTCTTTTTGTAATGCATCCACTGAATCTACTTTTTGTAATGCATCCACTGAATCTACTTTTTGAAATGCATCCACTATATCTTCTTTTTGAAATGCATCCACTAAATCTACTTTTTGTAATGCATCCACTAAATCTACTTTTTGTAATGCATCCACTAAATCTACTTTTTGTAATGCATCCAATAAATCAATTTTTTGAAATGCATCCACTAAATCTACTTTTTGAAATGCATCCACTAAATCAACTTGTTTTCAAAGAGTAGAAATCTGAACTAATAATTAAGGAAAAACAAAGAAGGATGATCTATTTTATATCATTTCATTTTATTAATGATTATAAAGCTTCATCTTATTGAAATCATTAATTGATTACATTTTATATTATACCAATCAATTTTATTATATTTATTATATTCCATTTTTTTATTATATTTTATTGATACTATTTAAGAACACATTTAACTTAAAAATCTGCAATTTTAAGAACTTTTTGAATGTTAAAGCATAAACTAATGTTAAAAGCTTCACCAGCAACACCCACTGGTCTCTATAATAACTGGATAGCGCAACTCTGAACAAAATTTTGAATTTTTTGACGCCAAAATCGCCATATTGGAAAGCCCCAGATATTTGAGTAAGTCTTTTAAAAAATAAGTAAGCCTTTTAAAAAATTTATTTATTATTTTCATTTTAAAAAAACCTTTAAGTGAGCCTTTGGCTTAGTTTTTCGACTAATCGCTTTAAATACAATATCAGATTTCAGCTAAGTTGAATATACAATAATGTGCGGATTAAAAAAAGATCTTTGAGGTTCAGAGTGTTGTGCATATGGATGCAAAAAGGAAAAGAACTGAGGGTTGAAGAAGCAATATTTTAAGAAGATAATATAATAATAATATTATTATCTACAATAAATCTTATATAGTTATTTTTATAGATATCAGTTCTTAATTAACATTCATATATATATATATATATATATATATATATATATATATATATATATATATATATATATATACACACAAATAGATAGATACAAATGTAAATCAGTATGCACCTTTTGATTCTTAATTACCCTCTGCAAAATGCCTGAGGCTTGTAACATATTTGCAAAGTAAACAGCTTACACATTGTTGTATGAATCATTAGTTGGGCTATGTGAGTGTAACACAACCCAAAGGTTCCTTAGGCAGTAAATAGTGATTATATATATATATATATATATATATATATATATATATATATATATATATATATATATATATATAATATATATATATATAATACAAATAGATAGATACAAATGTATATCAGTATGCACCTTTTGATTCTTAATTACCCGGTGAAAAATGCCTGAGGCTTGTAACATATTTGCAAAGTAAACAGCTAATTCATTGTTGTATGAATCATTAGTTGGGCTATGTTAGTATAACTCAACCCGAAGGTTCCTTAAACAGTAAATAGTAATTGTGTGTGTATATATATATATATATATATATATATATATATATATATATATATATATATATATATATATATATATATATATATATATATATATATATATATATATATATATATATATATACATATATATATACATATATATATATATATATATATATATATATATATATATATATATATATATATATATATATATATATATATATATATATATATATATATATATATATATATATATGTATAAATAAATATATATATATATATATATATATATATATATATATATATATATATATATATATATATATATATATATATATATATACATACATATATACTTTAATAAAACATTTTAATAAAACAATTACTGGCTGTTGTTTCAGAATTACTAGATAATGGGTTACCCAAAAAACTTGTTAGTTTGCTTACATTTTGGAATAGTAATCAATAAATGTTTGTTGATGGCAAAAAACAAAATCAAATAGTTTTAGAGTTGTCCCCACTTCTATTTAACTTTTACATACAGAATGTGATTTTATTAATCTCAAAACTACGTATTGGATGTAATATAGGTGGCTTTTGCTGATGATATGGTTTTAATTGCACTATCACTATCTTCTCTTCAAAAACTAATTAGCTTTACAAATAAGGAATCTTCCTTAATTAACATATCCTTTAACACAAAGAAAACTGTATGTATGGTGTTTAACCCAACTCAAAAATTATATCAAACTCCTTCCCAGAATTATGCATATCTGGCTGTAAAATTGTAAAATTGTTTTTGTTGATCTTTTAAATAACTTGGCCATATAATTTAAAATGACCTAACTGATGATCTTGATATAACCAAGGAGATGAAGGGTCTTTACACACGTACAAATATTTTAACTACAAAAAAACTACAATATTTTAACTACAAATATTTTAACTAACTTTCATTTATGCTCTACCAGAGTAAAGGTTAAATTGTTTAAATCATATTACATTTGTTTATATGGTGTTCCTCTGCAGCAAAATTATAATGATAAAACCATGGCACGCCTTCATTATTGCTACAACAAATGTGCTAAAATGTTTTTTGGCTACAACAAGTATGATCTCATGTTTTTAGAGCACAAATTACCATCTCTTCATACAATTATCTCGAACTACAGACATGCTTTTTGTAAAAAGTTGATGGCTTGTTTCTTAGTTAATAATTCCATGTGTTCTCTTAATCAAAGTTTAAAAAAATATTTTTCTTGTAAAAACTATGGCCAGGTCCATATCTAAATTGTATCTACTTGTATATATATATATATATATATTGTATATATATATATATATATATATATATATATATATATATATATATATATATATATATATATATATATATATATATACATATATATATATATATATATATATATATATATATATATATATATATATATATATATATATATATATATATATATATATATATATATATATATATATATATATATTAGTAAAAAAACTCATCTAACCAGGAAGAAATCTTTTTTCCTGGTTAGATGAGTTTTTGATGTTAAAGACAAAAATTAGATAAGTGTTTTAATTATTTTATTATTGCTGTTTTTAAGAACATTGAGCACTCTGTACTTGCAAAACGCTCTAGAAGAACCTAACATAATTTAAAAAATTAGACATTAATAATTATACCTGTATTTCTTTTATTTTCTCTTTTGTTTTTGAGTACAATATTTTACAAGATTTATTATTATTCAACTATTAATTATCAGGATACAACTGATAAATGTAAGTTGAAATAATAATTACTTTAATAAAACTACATATGTGTCTTTAGATCTTTTATACTTTGATTGATGAAAAACAATAAACGCCTAAATATCTTGTAACGTATGTCACCAAAATAGCAGAAAAACAACTTAGTAACAACATATAAACTTAGTAGTTATATAAGTTAAAGCTTTTCATACTTTTTATAAGTGGGATAAAAGTTTGTGAAGCAGCAGAACTAAAACTTGTTAACAGAACTAAAACTTGGTAGTGTATGATTATCAATTTCAATCTACTATAATAAAGTCGATGATATTACTTTTGCAGTCGCGGAAGAAACCAACATATCCTGAGTTTTTTAAAAACTATGAAAATTTAAAACTATTTAAAAAATCTTTTATACAATATTTTTTTGTTATGTTTTACACTTATAAAGTTACTTTCTCACTGCTATTATAAAGTAAGATTGCATCAAGTTGTAACAATAAACATTCTAAAGTAACCAGAGTAAGTATTAATTTTGACTTTCAGCAAAGTAGTTTCATATTGAACATAAGAAGATTAATAAAGGTAACAAGTTTATACAAAACAAATACAAATTATTAAACAGTCTATTCTCCTATATTCTTTATTTCCATTTAACTCTTTCAATTTTCAAACTTTCAAACATTGTAAATATAACAATATGATTGAAATATGCAACTTCTAGTCAATGTAAAAGAAGAAGTAAGTAAAGCAATAACAAATCTTCAAGCACAACCTCTGTATTTTCAAATTCCGTTCAGCGTTCTGGGGCTTGCCAATATGGCGATTTTGGCGTCAATTTTGATATTAGAGATGCGCTATCCACTTATTATAGAGATCAGTGGCAACACCGAAACTTACTGATTTTTCTCTGTAAAAAACATCCACCATTTTTAACATCCACCATTTTTACAAAATCTGTGCTGAACCATTAAAAAAAAGTGTTGATTTGATTGGTTGATTGCATCAAATAATCTTGCAGACAATAACTTTTTTTAATCATATTTGGAACAGAAAACATAATTTTAAGCAAGTCAAATTTTATTAAAATTTTGAATTTACAAAAATATTAGTGCTTACAAAACATTTCCTAAGTAAATTTAAAAAAAAAAAAAGTAAACTATCTGGTTTTGCACTCAAATTTTGCAAGTCCACTCAGGTTTTGCAAGTTTGTCCACTAAAGTTTTGTCCACTCTTCAATTATTATAGATAACTGTAATCATGATTACATTTTTATATTCAAAAATTGAGCTGAAAGCAACAAGAAATGATTACTTATTTCAAAGGTTTATTTTGTACAATTATTATTATTATTATTTGTTTTTTATGTGCAATAAGTTATGTAAATAATATAATATATTATGTAAAACATAAATATAAATAAATTTTACATAAAAATAAATTTTAGATTCTAATTATTGATTATACACAAACATTTAAACAAAAATCCAATAAAGTAAACTTTAAACTACTGCTATAACCATAAAATGTTATCTTGAAACTATGACAATCTATGAAAAAAGAATAAACATACACAATTTTCCTGGTCCCAATTCAGAACAGTTTTCTTTAGGATCAACCAAAATCTGAAAAATATGAAAATATATATATTAATATGGCAATGGCAGAGTGCTTGCAAAAACAAAAAGTTTTAGGATTGATCTTTGCCACATTCCTTAGAGTACTCAACATGTTTTTCTGCAGCTTGTCAAGATTTCTTTTTCAAAGTTATAGGGCTGGTAGAGGGTTGGAACCAAGTCTATTAAAAAGTAAAAATAAACAATGAGTAACTTTCTTGACTTTAGTGATGGCTTTAGGGAAGTGAATAAAAGGTATTAATATTTTTTTAATAATAAATAGAATATATCTAAACCCTAAAGGCAAATATATATCGGCCTTCAGCCGATATATATTTGCTACCTTTTAATGTATTTAGCAGTTATTTAAGGACACCAATAGTTTTTTTTTCTATCCTCCTGTTAGAGAACAGGAACTTTTGGCCTTGAAAAAGAAAGGACCTAAACATAGCTGCTACTAGAAACCTAATAGAATAATTAGTAATAAGGACTATGTTCTATTCATTTGTTATGAACAATAAATTCCATATTTAACAAATATTACCACATATAAAACAGAATTAAATGAGTTTGATTTAAAAATAGTTGATTTATTTTTAAAACTCAATTAACTACTTATATATTTATTATTTATATATTTGTATTTTTATCTCACATTCAAACTTGGATTTCTACCCTGACAAAGTAAAACAAACTCAAATCAAAGATTTTCTTGTGGTGTTTAAATGAACAGTAACATTTAAGTTTCATGAAACATTTACAGTGACATTTAAGTTTGTCATAAAACATTTACAGTAACATTTACTGTTCATAAAATGCAAGTCATATGCTTTAAGAGATGATCACAAATTACAATAGCTTTTAAGTTACATATTTTTTTACAACCTTTATTTGCTTCTTCAGACATTTTGTTATTATGTTTAAATAAACAACATTTTAAACCCATATTGTTCACATATTTAATAAAAAAACCTTTTACAAGTTTTTAGTAACTTAAATAAAACTTATTTTTTAAATTAAAAAATATATATATTTTAAGCAATTCAACAAAAGAACTTGGAGACCATTTTGGTTAAATTTTAACTGACGCCATATTATTTTATAAAAACTATTTTTATTTTACACCTGTAATGTCTTCTTTTTTGATGGTTTGATTTTTGTAGTTTTGTAACAATTTTTGTAACATTTTACTCCACTTGATGATGCTGACTGCTATAGGTCAGCAAAATATTGTAAATATAAATATGTATATTAACATCAAAATATATTTAAAACTAAAAGTTTATACACTGCCTTTTTAATCAAAATCATTAAAAGCATTAAAGAAATGCTTCAAGTGTAACCGGTTTACTCAGGAAGGTGGAACAAAAGCTTTCATAACATCCATTACTATAATTGCTTCCATGTTAAGCTTATATCAAGCTATCTAATTGCTTCCGTGTTAAGCATACCTTTCTAACAACTTGCTGCTGTTTTAAGTGTCAAAATTATAACCATCATTTTTATTCATTTAAGAGAAATTTTTTTTACCATAAAACTGGGTGAAATGGGTTTTTAAGGTTTTTCTGGTACCACTGACTAAGAATATAGTTTTTTATTTTTTTAAATTTTAATTTTTTAGTGCTAAGTATGGTCATATACAGCTTCTACGAAATTATGCACTTTTTGATAAATAAAACTAATGACTAACCTTAATTTTTGTTTGTTTTCTGTTTGTTCCTATTGACCCAGCATGGGGTGAATAGAGACATCAATTGTTTTAGATGTTTGTCATATTCCACCTCTGATAGGGGTATAATAGGGACACTGTTAAAGTTTTTAAAAAATGTGTATGTACCTAAAGTACACTAGAACAATTTAACACTAACCAGGATGCACAATAAACACATAATTGGACAAACCTTAATTTACTATAATAAATTATTATTAAATTTTTTATTACAATTATTAAAAAATTCTGAGCATCAAAACTACAGACTATAATCATGTATGATGTAAAACAAATAATCATGTATGATGTAAAACAAATATGGCACAGTCACATCTAATGAACACTAATTAACAATGAAAAATAGTTACACAGATAATGTGGTAGTGGTGTAGTGGTAGAATGCTTACTACATAACTGAAAGGTTCCAAGTTTGAATTCCACCATGTCCCTGGTAGTACCGTGCTCAACTTGTTTCTCCGCGCTGCAACCTTGTTCGTCAAGGCTCGTATTTCAGAGTCATAGAGTTGAGAGAGGGTTATAACCACAATTAAGTAGCCTCCTTGTCTGTTGTGACCTTCTTGGTCTTGGGGCGGTAAATTTAAATTAAAAAAAACTGTAAAAGTACAAAAATGAGAACCGTTTATTGAATACATTTGGAATGAGATTAAAATAAAATTCAAGTGCAGTATATTCTTAATTAATATTGAAAAAACTTGGAACAGGTACCAATGTTTATGGTATTAACAAATTGGGTATTGCCACTATTTTATAAAATCTACATTGAACTTTGTAACTATGTTATTGATACTAAGGTTTGATCCTTAATATCAGTATCCTAGATTAGTTCTTAACATCAGTATCATAGATCAGTACTTAGTATCCAAGATCGTTCTAAGTATCACTATCAGAAATCAGTTCTTAGTATCAGTAGCAGTATTGGGAACATCATTAGTAAAGATGCATTTAAAGATGTAAAGATGTATGAAAAATAAAATAAAATTGTAATCAAAAGAAATTTGCTTAACACTTGTACAAATTTCAGTAGCTTCAAATGTTATTACAGTATAATTACAAGTTAATGCATTATAATTAGAAAGTGATTTTTCTGAATATAAAGAATAATAACAATGGATGGAGAAACTAGTTGAGCTGGTATTAGCAGGGACGTGGTGGGGATGGCACTTTTTGTTTATGAGGCAACCGCTCTACCATTACACCACTACTGCATATGCCACTACACCACTATCACACATACTATAGAAATTATACTATATATTCTGTGTCGCATAGCTCAACCTACAAAAACCTGCACCTACAAGCTTTATCTACAAAAAACATCTTTTTTTTTTTTTTTTTTTTTTACATTATTCACCTCCCCAAGGCCCGAGGGGGCCACTACAGTCGAGGAGGCTACTCATTTTTTTTGTGTTTTTTATTTTTTTGTTGTATTTCGTGGTACAACCCTCTCTCAACTCTTTTACTCCGAAACACGAACCTTGACAAGCAAGGCCGCTGCGCGGAGAAACTAAGTTGAGCGCGGTACTTCCAGGGACGTGGTGGGAGTCGAACTCCGAACCTCTCGCTTACAAAGCGAGCGCTCTTACCACTACACCACTGCCGCATGCACCACATCTACTAAAAAGTAGAAATAATTTTTAAATGTTCTACTGAGGCCTAAATTATTTTCAACCTATTATAGCCCTTTTTTAATTTGACCAATTTATGACGTTTTCATTTTCAACTGATTTTTTCTCAACTGATTTTAGAAACTTTAATTTTCAACCAATTAGAGATAATTTGATTTTCAACCGACTATAGGCGATATTCATTTCAACCTACTAGCCTGTGTTTTTTACAGTTTCCCCTCCACCACCCCCACCTTGTATTAGAGACTCGAGAGTAATATATAAAAAAAAAGGTCAGATAAGCGAAATTGGTACAGGAGGAGGTGTAAACATTCTGATTAAATACCCTTTATGTGGTACTCTACGATAAGACCGTTAGGTCTCCTGGGAGAATAAAAAATGCGCTGAAAAAATCAAACTAATTAGTCATCTAATTGGTTTTTTTTTATTATTAATAATTTATTATTATAATTATTTATGAGAAAATAAAAACCTAACAATAATGCACACATATATATATATATATATATATATATATTTGTAATTAATGATAAAATAAAAAAAAAATAATAATAATAATATATATATATATATATATATATATATATATATATATATATATATATATATATATATATATATATATTTATATTTATTTGTTTTCATGCATTTAATAAAATTCTGGTGATTTTTTGTTAAGTTTTTGTTTACTAAATGAATTACGCCATTAAGTAATTATTATTTCTTCCTGTTGGCTTGACAAGGTTTTAACTGAAACTTTTTATATAAGGAGAATTAAAAAAAAAAACTTTTTTTTTTTTTATATGTGTTAAAATTATTTATTATTATTTTTTTTTTTTGTTTGTTTATGTACTATTATTTTGGTTGACATATAGATGTTTAAAAAAGATTCAAATATTTAAAAATTTAACTTAGCAGCATTTTAAAAATTCAATGTTATAAAAATAAAGCAATACGCATAAACATAAGAAATGTAAATAAAAACTTCGACAAACCAATAACTCAATTACTCAATAATAAAGCTAAAATATTTTTCTGAAGTTGCTCTTGGTCCTGCGAAAAAACTATTTCTGGTTTGATAACTTTCATGAATGTTATGAAAAATCACTCACGAAAAGTGCCACCAGTTTTTAAAAAATTCTTTGTTATGCAATTCTTTTGTTACGTAACTCTTAATAAAAAAAATCATGATAACTGGTCGATAATGTAAGTGATGTAATTTAAGTAAAAAATACAGTATCAAAAAAACAAGTTTATTTTTAAAAAGTTTTTACAAAAATTTTAAATTGGTATAAAATTCTCTGCATTTTGTAAAAGTTTCTAATACAAACTGCTTTAATGATTTGCAGAAATGAGACCTATAAGTTGAACTTGTTTTTTTACCTTGTTTTCCGCATAACATAAGTGCAAGTGGCATTTTTAGTAATAAGTTTGCTCTCTTTTGGCCAAACTCAAAACTTTTAAGCTTATTTTATTTATTAGATTAACAGCTTTCATACAAAATTGCTAAAAGTTTAATTTAAAAGTTTAAATAAGCAAATATTTAATAAAGTTGTTGCGCATGTAACATAAGTTAAAAATGGAATTGCCCATATATGTTATTTTAATGTTTTTATTTTCTCATTAATAACTATTATAATGAATTATTAATAATAATAAAAAAAAAAGAGCAATTAATTTGTTTTTTTAAAGCGTTTTTAAAATGCGTCATTTTTAATAAATGCAAAAAAAATCGTGGCCGTGTTATCAACAAAAAAATATATATGCGTGGTCATTCAAGCCGTGCGACTGCACGCGTCTCCTGAGAAGGCCTGAGATTAGTAGTTTATATTTTAATTAGTAGTAAGTATGAAAAATCAAGTTGTAGGTTAAAAATCAAAATTGTCATACTCTATGATTTTAAAAATTTCAAAATTAGGTTCAGTTATAGGCTATCATATATTCTATAGAAATATTATAGAGTATGAAATTTCAAAAGTTTACTTATAAAACATAAAACTTGTTACAAGATTTTGTAGCATAACAAAAACGCTTAACACATATAAATGCAACTTGACTCTTTGACATTTATTATTAGCTTTGATATTTATTTATTAGTTCACATGTTTTTAATTTAATTATTAGTTCACATGTTTATCACAATAATTACAGCTTTTATTAATTATAAATAATTTACTAATTATAATATTTACTTTGATGATACAAATAAATAAACAAAATTACTAATATAATAGATATAAAGCAAATACAAAAAAAATAATTACCAGTTGCAACTTTTCATTAAGCTTTGGAAGAGGTTTTCTTCCACCACCAATATTTCTTAATGACGCAACTCGGTAATATCCATAATTTTTATTTTTGTTAGCATCAATTTTCATTGCAATCAATTTTGCAGCTTCATCTTCAGTTATTCTTGAATTAGCAGTTATTTCCTAATGAAAAATAAACTTTTTTTTATAATTAAAAAAATTACTTTTAATTTTTATAAAAATTACTTTTAACTTTTATAAAAATCATTTATTTTTTTTTGTAGTTGATAGAAAGTTTTAATTTTTTTATAGTTTTAATAGTTTTCAAAAATAACAAAGTAGACCTTTGAAAAATTATTAATATTTTTTTTTTAGTTATTCAATTACTGTTAACTAAAGAGTAACTATTAAACTTGCTGTCTTCTTCTTTTCATTAACCGAGTACCTGAGTATTTACTGAGGTCATTATGTGTGAAAGCTGAGTTTATATACACTAAAGCAAGCATTTATCAAAGTATTAATGTAACTTTATTACATAATTGATACCTTTGCAACTGCCTTTATCAAGACAAATTTTATGATAAACAATAGTAAAGGTACTAGGTAAAAAAATGATTTTCGACAAATGGACACAACTCTCTGCCTAGTTACCGATAAAATAATTTTTGCTCTGAAAATTTTTTTGAAAGCACTTTATTATACTTCTAACAAAGAATATATGCTGCAAGACATCAAAAATCAAGAATATTGTAGAAAATTGCTAAAAGCCACCTTGGAGTTGATCTTTTTGTAGTTTATCTCCCAAATATTTTATCAATCATGACTAGTCCTTAAAAATTCAATAATTTTTTATCAGATATAAAATTCAATAATTACAAGCATAATTATTGAACATTTTTTTTTGTAATTTTTATTAAAAAAATATTATGATAATAAAACACAGTGTGTAAACTCTTGGTTTCAATGCAGTTACTGGAATGTTTTTTCTATTTTAAAGTGCCAATAATGGTTAAATCCCAGGATAGTAAAAATTTTGTCAATTTGAGATTAGTAAAATATTTATCCAATGTTTCTATCAGTAGTTATCCAATGTAATGTTTCTATCACCTTTAACCCTGTAGTTATCCAATGTAATGTTTCTATCACCTTTAACCCAGTTAAAGACTTTAACTCAGTAGTTATGCAATGTAATGTTTTAAGGATCACCTTTGATCACCTTTTTCATCAATATATTTTCCATGAACAATACTCAACTTTTCAGTGTAAAGCTGTCTATTTAACAGATATGATTTTTCAGTATCACATATACACCATACTTTAATTCTACACTTGAATGGTTTGGATGGATTATACTGAGTGAATTTAGCTTGACTCTAGTATTAGTAAAGTTGTTCTTCTATTGTCAGGAGCTCTGTTGGCTTGTGATGTTTTACTAATTTACTATTGAGTTATGTCCAAATGTCTCATATTGGAGCTGTTTTATCACTTTTTGTATGCACTGAGCACAAGTATAAGCCTCATCAGTAAAACAGAAGCATACGATGTCTATTGCTGCATGATACAATGGACATGAAAACTTCAACATATCCTTTGTATTGTCAGCATTAGATTTGTTGATGCCAGAGGATCAATCAAAATAGCCAGGAACGCATAAAAATGCTAATGCTCAAGATTTTTCCACACTATAATTTTTTTCCTGAATTTTTTTTTATTATATGTAGCATATGTTTTATTTATATCTTTTTTATTTGTATGATGTAAGTTGTAGTTGTAGTTTTTTATTTTATTTGTATCACGTATAATGATATAAGCCATTTCTGTAGTAAAAAATAATTTAAATATGTTGAGATAAAACAAGTTGCTAGGCCCCAGTACAATCTTATAAATGAGAATCATTCTTCTTTTTTTTGTTGTTTAGTGAAAGGGGACTTCCACTACTCCGACACCACCAGTATGCAGACACCAGAGGATTAAATATTATTATTTCACATTCCACAGTAGATGGGTACCCGGTTATTGAACGAATGGTGAAAGTTTGGTTAGTCACCAAACAGTTAAACTCTAATAAAATAAAGTTTATCAATATCGTACAGCCCAATTTTCTAATTTGTCTCATATTGTTTTTCCTTGCTTAAATTTTTTCAATTTTGCTTGAAGGATTATAAAAGATTCTGAATAAAAATAAATATATTATCTTTTTTAATCAAAACGAAGCGTAGAGTGAGAGGATCGAAAAAATGTTTTCGATCCTCTCACTCTACGGCCGACTTGCTAACTGCTGTAACTGAAACATTTTATCATGCATTAGATGGAGGCGATGAGGCTAGGGCTATTGCTCTCGACATATCTAAAGCTTTCGACAAACTTTGGCATGCTGGTCTTCTCCATAAGCTTGCTTTATATGGTGTTTCTGGGAAAGTTTTTGAGATTATCAAATCATTTCTTTCTAACCGGTTTATTAAAGTCATCCTTGAAGGCCAACACTCTTCTTTATTTCCAGTAACATCTGGGGGTTTTTTTTTGTTTTATTTTACTTCACCTCCTCAAGGCCGAGAAGGCCACTACAAACGAGGAGGCTACTTATTTTGTGGCTATAACCCTCTCTCAACTCTATAACTCCGAAACACGAACCTTGACAAACAAGGCGGCTGCGCGGAGAAACGAGTTGAGCGCGGTACTACCAGGGACGTGGTGGGGATCAAACTCGGAACCACTCGTTTATGAAGCGAGCGCTCTACCACTACACCACTATCGCATCATGGTTCCCCAAGGCTCCATCCTGGGCCCTATTTTGTTTCTTATCGACATAAACCATCTTCCTGACAACCTTTCATCTAAAGTAGCTCTTTTTGCTGATGACTTAACTTTATACTCCTGTCTTGACAAAAAGTCTTCTCTTTTCGATCGCCTAGAACAAGCACCTGATCTTGAATCCGATCTCACTTCAGTAATAGATTGGGGTTCACAGAGACTTGTGAATTTATCACTATCAAAACCATATTGTTTACTCCAAACAACTACCTTAATATGGTCAACATATTAATGAATTATCAACTATATTATTGAATGGCAATCCTCTTACTGAGTCGTCCTCTTTACGTCTTCTTGGACTATCGCTTACTACTGACCTTTCATGGAAACCATATATGCAATTGATTGCTAAATTAGCTTCTGCTAAGGTTGCTTCTCTTTATCGTGCTCGCCATTTCCTTACTTCTGATTCCATTCTCTACCTCTACAAATCTCTTATTCGTCCCTGTATGGAATACTCTTGTCATATTTGGGCTGGTTCTTCTAACGATTCACTTTCTCTTCTTGACAAGGTCCAAAAACCCATTGTAAATGTTGTTGGACCTGGACTATTTGCTAAGTTTGAGCCTCTTTCTCATCGTCGTTAAGTTGCATCTCTTTCTCTTTTCTACAAATACTATCATGGTCACTGCTCAAAGAAGTTATTATCTCTAGTTCCATCAACTAAATCATTTCTTATTTTACTTGTCATTCAGCTAAGTCTCATTTGTTTCCTGTATCTGTCCCTGCATTCTCTAAAAACATTTAGAGCATGCATTTCCCCGCACTTCAATCCTTTGGAACTCTCTCCAGTCTTCATGTTTTCCTGACTCATACACCCTCAACTTTTCAAGTCTTCTGTCAACCGTTTCCTTGCTCTACAACTCTGTTCTTTTTTTTCCTAGTAACTCCCAACTTAATAGTGGTTGCTTGCAGCCTTGTTGGGGGTGAATGCAAATAAAAAAAAAAAAAAAAAAAAAGATAACTGAGTTTTATTAGAGTTAAAATTTGCAAGTTACTACAGATTAAAGATTAAATATTAGCTGCCTGTTCTATGGGATTAAAAAGAGAAGACTTCTTGTCAAGAAAGGTGTATAAACTTGAGTCATCAGCAAGCAGAGCCACTTTAGATGTCAGGAAGATCATTAATGTAGGTAAGAAACGATACAGGAACAAGAATAGAACCTTGAGGTACCCCAGAAGTTACTGAAAATAAAGAAAAGTGTTTTTGAGGATGACTTTGATACTGCAGCTAGAAAAATATAATTTAATAATCTCAAAAACTTTCCCAGAGTCAGTATGAAACTAGTTTAAGGAGAGCATTCCAAACTTTATTGAAAGCTTTTTATATGTCAAGAGCAACAGCCATTGCCTTGCTGCCCCTATCTAATGCACAATAAGGATCTTTCAATTAGCTGCAACTGAAAGTCAGCCATACAATGAGAAGATCAAAAACCATATTGATTGTCAGAGAGTTATTTTTATTAGACTCAATAATTAGAAATTTGTTGATCAAAGACTCAAAAACCTTGCTAATAACAGATAGAAGACTGATCAGGTGATAGTTAGCGGGGTCAGAAAATTCTCCAGATGTTTGTTTGGACCACAAGCCCAAAAAGAGTTCAATTGCCAAATAACTTTAGCATTGGATGATGGAAGGATTTAGGTCTTACAATTGGATGCTGGAATGATTTAAGTCTAACAATTGGTTACATGTTTTAAGTTTATTGGTCAGGTCCAGGTCAACTTTGTGTGAAGTTTTGTTTATTGGAGAGACTCAATCATAGATAGTGACAACTCTAGCTATAGACTTTACTTACCAGCTAATGAGACTTGCTATGCTATAATGCTACGAAAGTTGCTATGAGAGTTGCTATGCTATGAGAGTTGCACTCACATTAGTGAAAAACAAAATTTTTAGATTTTTTACAAAATAATTTTCATACTAAAAAAAAATATTTTTATAAAAACTAAAAATTTATATTTATATCTGATATTTTGAAACCTACTAAGATTTTGAATAATGTAAATGGTATAATATTAGGAGGAAATAAAACACAATCATTATTAGTAAATCTATTTATCTATCTCTAGATTTACTACATTTTAATTTACAATAAAAAAAAAACTATTTAAATAAACTTTGAATAATAAAACAATAATAAAAATTTTAACAAAATAATTTACATTAAGGTTGAATTTATTTTAAATCTAATTCAAAACAACTGCAATCAAAAATCTAATACTCTGCATAAAACCTGACTTGGATAAAACTTGGCTTGTGTTAGATAAAATAAAAAATTAGTATATTAAAACAATACATTAAATAATGTATAACTCTACAGTGATACAAATAAGTTCAAATGACTACAGTCATCTCATCATCAATGTGATGCAATCATTCAAACATACTAAATCAATGCAAAAGTCACTTAATTTTACTACACTAAAGCAATTCAGCATCCAAAACTAAATCAATGCAACCAAAGACTTTGAAATTTTACATTTTTTTAAAAACATTTATTAAGATTTTTTAGAAATACTTAGTAACATTTGGTTGAAGGGTTAAGGTTAGGGTTAGGAGATATTTATCGATATTTAATAGAGGTATTTATTAATATTATATAAAACTTGATCAACCAATGATTTTCTCAAGTTTCACTTGCTATGATGCATAAAATTTGTATATAGTTACAAACTGTATATCGACATAAACTTTTAAAATGTTTGTTTACCTTCATGTACTCAATCAAATCTGGATGATGCTTTTTTAAAATTCTTTCATTTAACAAATCCAGATTTCCTATACAAAAAAAAATATATATATAACATATATAATAAATTGACAATATATATTACTATATTCTTATCTTAAAAAAAACAACATTTTGTTGCTCTTTTCTAAATAGAGTTCTAAATATTTGTTTGTTATTTTTTTGATGTTTAAATATTTTGAGGATAGTAATTTTCAAACGTTTTAAATGATCTAGGTGATTTATGTAGTTTTACATAGATATGACATATTTAATCAAAGTATTTTAGATTTTTATTGTTGAACAAATAAGTAAAACAAAAAATATTTCAAATTATTATTTAAAGTGGTTTCAAAAAATTTAGATCAGGATTCAATGTGATAGAGATATGTGATCATGATTCAATGTGATAGAGATATGTGGTTGAAATATGATCAGTATTCAATGTGATAGAGATATGTGGTTGAAATGTGATCAGGATTGGATGTGATAGAGATATGTGGTTGAAATGTAATCAGGATTTGATGTGATAAAGATATGTGGTTGAAATGTGATCTGGATTCGATGTGATAAAGATATGTGGTTGAAATGTGATCAGGGTTCGATATGATAGAGATATTTGGTTGAAATGTGGTTCTTAAATGCTATTTATATAGTGAGTAATTTTGAAACAAATTTTTTTTTTAATTTTTTTTTTTTTTGGTGGATTAAAAGTATTTTTTTTTTTTGGTAGATAAAACTTTCTCCATAGATAAAACTTTTTCTTTGCTCGATTAAACTTTTTTTTGGTCTATTGAACTATTTGAATCTTTTTTTGAAGTATTGTACTGCAGTTGAAAACTCTTGAAAATGCTATTAATCAGATTGGATCTACTCATTTGGATTTATTTTTGGTTGTAAATCTGTGCATGAAGGAGGTTCATTCCATATCAAATCACCTAATGGTCCCCAGGGTACCACCTCAGATTTGCTTCAAATTTTGACCACCAACAGATTCTATAAAAAACACAATCCTAAACATTTCAGATTGATTGGCTAAATTGTTCAAAAGTTATGATCAAATCAATATTGACCAAAATTAGAAAAGTTTTAGCATCTGGAGCTTACAGTTACTTTGACTTACTAATCATCTATTTATTTTAACTTTTTAAAATAAATAGATGATTACCTAAAAATTTCTACAGTAATAGTTTTTTACCCAAATATTAAATTTTTGAAAGTGTTTTTAACTGATTTCACACAGTTTTTTAGTTATTGTACCCCAAAGTTGCTAAAAATTGCAATATTTTAAAATTTAGTTAAACAATTGCAGCAGCCTGTTCAAATATCACTTATTATGTAAAATATGATAAATTACATTTGCATGCATAGAAAATAGCGTAGACAGTTAAAATAAACTATGAAACTTTTTAGTGGCAAGGTATATATAGACAAAAAATGGATACAAGTATGACAATCAGCATTGGATATAGACCCAAAAAATATAGTATTGGAAATAGAGCAAAACTATAATGATTTAGATAATTTTTTAGATGTAAAAAATAAAAAATAAAAAAAAATAAAATAAAAAAAAATTTATAGGAAGAAAAAGCTCAGTTACTTTAGTTAACTCTTTACAGTCAATTCAAACTCTTTACAGTCAAACTGATTCTACTTCTTTACGTCGTCTTGAATTATCATTTACTACTTTTCATGGAAACCATATATACAATCGATAGCTAAATTAGCATCTGCTAAGGTTGCTTCTTTTTATCGTGCTCACCATTTTCTGTCTCCTGATTCCACTCCCTACCTCTACAAATCTCTTATTTGTCCCTGTATGGAATACTGTTATCATATTTTGGGCTGGTTCTTCTAATGATGCTCTTTTTCTTCAAGATAAGGTTTAAAAACACATTGTAAACAGCAACCTGGTCTATCTGCAAAGCTTGAGCCTCTTTCCCATTATCGTAAAGTTACATCCCTTTTTCTTTTCTACAAATATCATGGTTGCTGCTCAAATGAGCTTTCATCTTTAGTTCCATCAATCAAAACTCATTCTCACTTGACTTGTCATTCATTAAAGTCTCATTCTTTGACTGTATCTGTCTCTTCATGCTCCAAAAACTTTTTATTGTCCCATCTTCATGTTTTCCTGACTCATACAACCTTGCTCTATAACTCTACTCTTTTTTTCTAGCAACTCCCATTTTGATAGTGGTTGCTTGAAGCCTTATTGGGAGTAAAAAAGAATTAAAAATATATAGATAACAATGCTTAAATAGGTTACTTTTAAAACTTTTGCCTGTAAACAAAGTCATAATAAAAATTTATCCAAAAAATTCTAAGTAATGCACAAAGTTTAGTTTATTTACTATTTAATTATTATAATAATGCAGGATAAAAATATTAAAATGCCATCGTTCGGAAAATCGGTAAAAAAGTATATACATATATATATATATATATATATATATATATATATATATATATATATATATATATATATATATATATATACATATATATATATACATATATATATATATATATACATATATATATATATATATACATATATATATATATATATATATATATATATATATATATATATATATGTATATATATATATATATATATATATATATATATATATATATGTATATATATATATATATATATATATATATATATATATATATATATATATATATATATATATATATATATATATATATGTATATACATATATATATATATACACATGTATATATATATATAGATATTATATATATATACATATATATATATATATATATACATATATATATATATATATTATATATTATACATATATATATATATATTATATATTATACATATATATATATATATATATATATTATACATATATATATATATATATATATATATATATATATATATATATATATATATATATATATATATATATATATATATATATATATATATATATATATATATAAATTAGGATGTGGAAATCAAAATATTAAAAAACTGGATACAAGTATGACAAACCAAGTAGCATCAGCATTGGATATATATATATATATATATATATATATATATATATATATATATATATATATATATATAAATATATATATATATATATATATATATATATATATATATATATATATATATATATATATTGCTGAGCATCACTTTTTTACTATGTTTCATTGCAAAAGCCTATGGAATAGGAGGAATTATAAAAAAAAAGCAGAAAAGCAAGTTTTTTACAAGCAGCAATTACAAATTAAAAAACAATTACTAATCAGACTCTTGCATCACACAAACTGTGTGCATAGGTGTTAGAAGGTGTTAGCATATATTACCAAATATTTATAACCATAAAACTTATTTTAACTTCCATAAACAATATATGAAGATATGAGTACAGTCCCAAGCATGGCAGTATTGTACAGGTAGAGAGAAATAAATTTTACAGAGAATCTCTAGCAAACTTGTTTATTATACATGTTTGCTGAATAATGTCAACTTGGTACAAAAAGACATTTAAACTTTAAAGCTGGTAAATACATTGCATGCTTTTACAATGATGAATAGTACATAGGTTTGTGCTTAAGACTTAATGAAAACCAAGATAATAATGAGAAGTTCATGAAAATAAATTTAAAAAGAACTAATAAGTGAATCATGTCAGTTTTTGTCTAATTGACAAAAATGTCAAATTAGCGCTCCTGAACTTTTTTTTCTCCTGAGCTGAACTTTTTCTTCCTTTAAACTTATTTTTCCCTTTTTTTTTTTTTTTTTTTTTTTTGCATCTATTTCCAATACTATATTTTTTGGGTCTATATCCAATGCTGATGCTACTTGGTTTGTCATACTTGTATCCAGTTTTTTAACTTTTTGATTTCCACATCCTAATTTATCGCATTTATTTACATTTTTGAATATTTCTAATATATATTTTTGATATTTTCAATATATAAATATTATAATAGATAAATATTATCATATTTATATCCAATATAATTCTTAAAACTTTAGATTTAGTTTTTACAACCAACTCTAAATGCAATAGAAGTGTTTTACACTCAAATTACAACTATGTGTAAATTATATCACTATAATTATATTATATGCATAAAATAAAACAAATACAAATTCATATAAAATAAATTGAATTAATACACTGATTATATCATTTGAGGGTTAACTGAGTATATTCATTCAAGGAAAAGTTAAAAATATACACCTAGGTCATAGGGCTACAATCATGTTATATCATAGAGTATAGGTCTTTATTTTTTTGGTGATTGTCTAAATATAGAACCTTGCCAGTAAAAAGTTTCATAATTTATTTTAACTGTCTATGCTATTTTCTATGCCTGCAAATTTAATTTATCATATTTTACAAAAAAAGTGATATTTTATATATTGCAAGTATTTAACTAACTTTTAATGCATATTTTGCTTTTTACCACAGGTGGTTACCCTAAGTAGACAAAATTAACAAAATATTTGCACTCCCTATCTGTAGGTTTTGAGCTGTAGCACATTAAAGTTTCCAAATTTTTTTTAATATTGCAACTTTTAGCAACTTTGGGGTACAATAACTAAACAACTGTGTGAAATCAGTTGAAAACACTTGCAAAAATTTAATATTTGGGTAAAAAACTATTACTGTAGAAATTTTTAGGTAATCATCTATTTATTTTAAGAAGTTAAAATAAATAGATGATTAGTAAGTCAAAGTAACTGTAAGCTCCAGATGCTAAAACTTTTCTAATTTTGGTCAATATTGATTTGATCATAACATTTGAACGATTTAGCCAATCAATCTGAAATGTTCAGGATTGTGTTTTTTCGTAAAATCTGTGGGTGGTCAAAATTTGAAGCAAATCTGAGGTGGTGCTCGCGGTCACTTTTTAAAAAATTAGGTGATTCATCTGGAATAACCCAGGATATAAATGGGGTTTTCATCTGCTCATGCTTGAACTTAATAGGATGTTAATTTGAATTATGGTGATCTGTTTGTTCGCAAACTTTGATAGATAGAAATTTATGTTTAATTCAGTAGATTTATCCAAAAGTTATAAAAAAGGTTTAAAACTTGCTGGAGGCATTTCTTTTTTCATTTTATTTATAACTCTTTCAAAATGATTGTTAAAGTCTATCCAACAGATTTATGAAATTAAAACTAATTTGAAAAGAATTAATAAAAACAATTTTTTTTTTTTTAATTAAAATCTATGCTTCCACTTGAGTAGTTTGGATGAATTTCCATAATGTCATCAAGAGCATATTTAGATCCAGCTGGCCCCATGACATATTAAAAATAAAATAGCTTCTAGCAGTGCTGACATAAGGAGGGTCTATATTTCTAGGTATGGCAGTTTTAGGGCTCTTTTTTTCATGAGATTTATTTTTTCTTTTTTTCTTTTTATGGCAATAATCAGTTTTCAGTCCCTGCTTTAAAATAACATCAGACTCAAAAATTTCCTCATCCGGCACTGGCCTCACTGACCTACGAAAATTATAAAATTAAATAACCTTTTTTTTTTTTTTATTGCTGCAAATTTCTTTAACTCATGTTTTTTCAGAATATTATAACATAAAATATAACAAAATAAAATAAATTAAAATATAGTAGAACAATGATTTAAAATTTCTCTTAGGTTTCAAATTCCGAAAACAAAGGAATAAAAAAAATCAAATTAACTTAAAAAAAAACATGAGCTGTTTATATGGTGTTGTAATTCTATTGTTGTAATTCAATGTTGTAAATCTATTGTTGTAATTTTTTTGTGTATTCTAATTCTATTGTTGTAATTACTATTTTATTAGCTATTTTGAATCAACCAAAAGTCTTGTTATAAAATACTTTTCCAATTATTTTCTATTTAAATTATTAAATTGTAACATTAATGAAAAATTATAGTAAAAAAAGATTTCTTGAACTAAAAATGTCTAAAAATGTAATCATCATAACTTAAAAATTATTATGTTAAAAATATTTTGTAAATAAATTATTTTTAAAAACATCCACAAAACTAATTACCTAGTTCTACTTCTTGCTTACGACTTTTTGACAGTAGCATGCTAGAACAGAGGTCTTTATCTGCAATATAAGCTGAAATAACCAAAACAGGAAAGAACAAAAATGTCAGTGCTGCTTCCCATACTTCAACTTCATTTGGTGATGTTACACTCAAAATAATGAACAGCCAAATATATGCAAATATAGCAAAAAAAGAAGTTGTTAAAAAAACTCCTAACGAACTAATGCGTTTAACTTCACCATTACCTATTGCCATTACACAAACAGCTGTAATAACAAATAAGTTAAATGCTGCACTGCCAACAATGGTACCTGGTCCTAATTCTCCAGCTTTAAAATTACTTCCAACTATTTCAATAATGGATAGCAAAATTTCTGGAGCAGACGTGCCAAGAGCCATTAGAGTCAAGTTAGCAACTGTGCCATTCCAAACTCTTATTTCAACTTCTTCATATTCAGAACTGACTATGTTATCATCTTCATCAGTGGCAACTCTTATTTTTTTAGTTTTACTTGTAATTATTTCTATTGCACACATAAATAGATCTGCAGCTATTGCTACACCCATAAAGCACCAAAGAAGAGCCATAGAATAAAACAGTATTCGTATTCCATTTGACCATTCTGACTCATTAATAAGAGGAAGAAATAATGTGTTCTCTGATAATTTGGTACATTTATAACTCTGTTTTATTGAGGCTAGGTCACTAATAGATTTCAAAAAAGTGAGATTTGAAGTCATTTTTCTCCTAGATAAACAAATATTACATGTGTGTGCATATATGTATATATATATATATATATATATATATATATATATATATATATATATATATATATATATATATATATATATATATATATATATTATATATATATGTATATTATATATATATATATATATATATATATATATATATATATATATATATATATATGTATATATATATATATATATATATATATATATATATATATATATATATATATATATATATATATATATATATATATATATGTATATATATATATATATATATATATATATATATATATATAATATATATATATATATATATATATATATATATATATATACAAATACATATACATAAGAATTAAATAAAATCTACTCTGAAATTAAAAAGATGAAAGTATAACATCATATGTCCTCTAAAAAGATGTATCAAGTTATTAGCTGTAAATCATTATTTATTTATTTATTTATTATTTGTTGTTGTTGTTTGTTTTTTATTTTCGTATTTGTATAAATGCACAGACTTTTCTTTACCTTGAAGAAAATAAGAAATTATTTTTTATTGTGGATTTTTAAAGAACTTTCCAATAACTTTTTATACATATATATATTTTTAAACAAATTTGATAAAAATAGATCTTTGAAATGTTTTATTAAATATAGTTGTTTTGAATTTAACACCTTAACTAATTGATTTGATTTAATTAATGCTTAGCTATTAGCATTATAACTAAAAATTGAAACTATTTTAAAAAATGAAACATCAAATTTCAGAAAAGCTGCAAAGAATTATTTTTGTTTTCTTGATTTTTGAAAAATTTAAACAATGGTAAAAATTACTATATTTTTTTCTCCTCGTGCGCTTTTAAATAAGCTTTAATACAAATGTTGGCCTCGTGTTAACTATTTAAGTTTGACATTGAAATTTTATTTTTTATCAAAACTTAATCTATTTTAAATATTAAAATCGTTATATTTATTTTAAAATTTATTTCAGAATATTTAAAATTTATTTGATATTTTTCAGTTTAAACTTGAAACAATAGAATTTTAAGCGCGCCCTAATAAATCGTCGCACAGTGAGTCAGAAAGGTGAAAAAACGGCAAAAATTATATAACTATCATATAAAAACGTGTGATATACCAATACTATCGTATTTTGGGTCAAAAAATTTAAATTTGTTATTGAAATCATTTTTTTACGCGTACCTATAACGCGTACAACGCAAGCTTACGCGTGTAAGTGTCATTTACGCGCGCAAAATATGATTTAAATAAATAAATTGCATTCCTTGATCCAAAATACCATATAAAAAAATACCACATATTTTTTAATGTAAAGGTTCGTACACGCGTATACGATTCTAACACGTATACACGCGTAAACGTATTATACTCTTTAATGCGCACAAAGACTTAATTTAAAAAAATAAAATTCTTCAAACCAAAACATATACTTATTAAAAAGAAAAACTGGATTCAAAATATCTTTTGAATAATAATATTAAAGTATGTTAAATACAAAATAAATATTTATCTCGTCTAATTTTTCTTTCAAGAAAACAAAAAAAGAAAACCTAAAGTTATAAAAAAGCTTTATTTCATTATTACAGCATTAACAAAGATAAAACTTCAGGGGTAAGTGTTTTTCGATTTTCAACCTTGTATTTTTTGAAACAAATGTTTGATATTACAGGATTACTTCTAATCAAGAGGTATTGGTACTGGTTTTTCATAACATTCTTTCTTGATATCTTGGCTGTATGGTTTAATCTAACTTTGAAAATTTCCTTATTTAGAGCCTCTTGTGACTCTTCAGAGTAGTAACCAATTGAAAGTTCTAATGCCTCAGATATCTGCACACCATGTTCCAAGAGTTTATGAACAGTTGGGGGAATCATACACCAGCAATAGTTTTTAAGTATAAGAGCTGTAGTTTCATAGCAATACTGGCCAAACTTTCTGAGTTTAACTCATAACAGAAGCATACTGATATTAGGATTGTCCTCAATCTAATAATTACATCTACTGACACTCCCGTTATATCAGCGAAAGTTTCAGCATTTTCAAATGCCCTTCTGGCAGTGTTTCCATCGTTAGTGTTGCCAAAACCCTGTTTAGGCATATCAACTATAAGACTTAGCTCCTCTCTAAACCTCAGTTGAATGTTCTTTTTTCTACTTTTCACTGATGCTTTTTCAGCGGGGGATTTGGCAAAGAATCTTTTAATGTTTAACTTATATCCTAAATGTAAAATATATTCAAAAGATCTGAGCCAGCAATGCAGAGTTGAAAGACCTAAAGATAAAACTTTTTCATTAATTGGTTTAGATCTGATCGATTCTGGGCTATTAAGTTCACTGGGCTTTGATCTGCAAATATTACATGATTGGGAGGACAGAGTGTTAGTGAGGGCATTAACCATTTTACCATCAAACATGGTTATATCTAGTTTGAACTTAAATAAGATTGTCGTATCCGGTTTGTCTTCCTCTACTTCTAACTTTACTTCAAACTTGACTAGTCTATTTATTACTGCTTTTAAAAGTTTATACTCATTTCGTATCAATTGTTCCGTTTCTTTTTGATATTGGAGATGTAAGGGTCTACAGTAATGTGTACTGGAAGGCTTCTTATTTAACCATATATTTTTGTTCGTGATGGTTAATTTAAGTGGAACAATAGCTGTCTGGAAAAGACTTTGCTCGTTAACTTGGGCCTCACCAATATTTGTATCAGTATACTTTTGTTTATAGACACTTTGACTGGAGGCACCATCAAATCCACCTTTAAAGTGAAGTACACCTTCAAACTTCCCCCCTATTTCTGCAAACATTCTCATATAGTCTTGGCATTCCGTAAAAGTTAATATTCTTGTCAGAGTATGATTAAACATACCCTGTAGAGGAGTTGAAGCAGATCTTCTGTCACAATTAAACTCTCAGGATAACACTTGTGTCTCTCATTCTTAATTTCATGAATTGAAGGATGAATATCTGCATTATGTATTATTGATGAATTTCTAATAATTTGATACTGCTCATCAAATTATTAGAAATTCATCAATAATAAAGTTCAGTGTGACCTTTTCAATAATTTGAAAAGGTCACACTGAACTTTTAAGCTTTAGGCATCTTCGGTTTTCATTTTCATCGGAAAATTTATCTCCGTGATATTAACCTTTTCAGAGTTTGTTGCACTTTTCATGAGAACAACGAAATCTTTTTTCGTAGGATCTCTAGTGGCTTTTTTAATTGAAGCTAATGCCAATGCTTCAGCATCAATTTGACAACCTTAAACAAGATAATATTTAATATTTAAGTTTGTAAACTATTTTTTCAAACTGGGTTGAACTTAATTTATTTATTATTACCTTAGATCTTCTGCTTCTATCACCTAAACCTTCCCAGTTCTTGCTCTTTCTGCCTGGACCTGCTGCAAAAAATTTTTTGTCAACAGTTACATCTTTGTTCAACCAAGTTTGCTCGTGTTCCAAAAGTCTAGAGAAGGTTCTTGAATATTTCTGAAATTTTGATCGAAATTTACATTTAAATATTATTAGAGTTTTCTTTAGATTTAACATTTTAGGTTTGTCAATACTTTCATAGTACAGACCTTCCAGTCTACAAAACTCACGTACTCGAGTAAATTATCATGATTACTTCCTAACTCTTGAATTATAGGGACTAGATGTATTCTTTTCATGTTTAATGTAAGCAATGAACTATTGTTAGTTATTTTACACGCAAGTTTGAATTTTAAAATATGCACTATAACATCAAATATTGCATATTTTGGTTTTGAGGTTTGATAATTAGCACCATCTGCTTGAGCATGAGTTTTTTTAGTAATAGGAACTAAATGTATTATTTGTGTGATGAATGCAAGCAATGAATTTTCGCTACTTTATGCGCAAGTTATAATTAAAAACATTAAAAAAAAATACAAAAAAAATACAAAGTACTTTAAAGGTCTTGTTTTAATTGGGGCAAGTTGGGGCAAATGATTTTTATTTTTTCTGCTTTCATATATACCTATTAATGGGAAAATATTAAAACTACCATCGAATCTAGTGGAAACCTTTAGTTTTTGAACTAAACTCATAATTAAACTAATTAAAAAAAATCAATTTATGACATATTTTTGAGATCTCAATAATGAAAATCTAAAATTAAAATTTATTGTTAAAAATGTTGTTAATAATTACCAAAGATCTTAAACATATGACTTCAAATTAAATTTTGAACTGTTTTTACCTATATCAATCTTAAAAGAGTGATTTTGCCTGTTTTTGCAATCTTAAAGCGAGACTTTTTTGAACGAGTTTTCCGATAAATAAAATAAAATAAATAAGTCTCGGAAAAAGACGTATAAATTGGTGAGATCTTGAAAATTATTCAAAAAAAAAATTATTTATTGTCTTTTAGTGGTATTTAGTGACATTATAAACTAATTATTTATTTTCTAGCAAAAGTTTTTTATGGGGGGTTTTTTGCCGTTTTTTATGGATTTTGACTCACTATGCGTCGTCAGGAAAATTTAGTCTAGACTTTGTTGACGTTTATAAAAGTTATATTTTAGTAATAATATATTAGTTTTAGTAATATTAAAATAAAATTTTTAGTCATTAATTATTAAAATAAAAAAAAATTAAAATAGAATTCTTTTTTTTAAATTCTAAATTAAAAAAAGAAACAAATTTGCGTTAGAAAATATTTATTTTACTAAATAATACAATTATAAAAAAAAGGTTTGTAAAAGTTGCACATTAATTTTTTTTTTTTTTTTTTTGCACATACATTTTTTTATAAAAATTATATTTGTTACCAAAATCTTCAGGCAAATAGAAAAAATTTAATCTTGCTACGATTTTTCGGATCCTAGGTCTTTTGCTTCTAAAGCCCTAGGATTTGAAAAAAGCGGACGTTACTAAAGACCGGAGAATATTTGTTAAAATTATATATAATATATATATATATATATATATATATA